TGAATGCTGGTGACTTTAAATGATCCTCGGACCATTTTGTGAGCAGAAAGCAGTCTGAGAAGACTATATATCCCCAAATGTGGTATGTTTCCCAATGCCCAGTTCAAATTGGGCTCAGAAGGATAATGGACAAGGAAGAACATTTTAGAGGGAGATGATAGGGGCGCCAAGGGTGGTCCTAACACCTCTAATCCAAGAACTTTTCTAATCCTCAGCATGGTAGGTTTTCATAATATCTACCCTAAAGATTTCAGAATTGCTCTGAATCGATGATTACTATATGATTCCAATTCTTCCACTTTCTGAATAGGAGTTTTTATTATGGTTGTTCTATCTTTGTACCACCATTGAATATTAAGTATGTGAGGACAGACATGATCTTTAGGTCAAGAGTATTCACAACCAACCTTTTTGGAAAGATTTTTCAATACCTCCCAGAGACATTAGACTCTGATTCAGTAACTGGACATGATATTTGGTTGTATTCTTTGGGGGAGCCCTTAAACATGTTTTTATGTATGAGAGTTTGAAAGGAATAAAAGAATACTTGGTAAGCATAAAAGCAGTTTCTTTTAAGACTAATTCTGGTAAGTGGGTTGTGGGTGGGTATGACATATCAGCTCCAGGTCTGATCATAAAAGCTCCTGGACAACTCTCTAGCTTACTTAATGGTGATTCAGTAGAGCATATGTTGGCATGGAGGAACCAAGGTGTTAACAGCCTGTGGCACTCCATGAGAAAAAGGTGATACGGAGAATGGTCCCATCAGTATTGGACTTGTGAGATACTAAACCTATATAGTTTAAAGCCCTTGAGATTTTAAGATTTGTCAATACAGCATAGTCTATCATTTTCTGACAGATATAGAAACTGACATGAGAAATGAAGTGCCTTGTTTTCCTGGATGATAGATAATAGAAGACAGGAGAAGCTTATGTTGAAGACTCAGCCAAGGGTTAGTACTTCGGCTTCTGTCCAAGATGAAGTAATAGGACAAGATTTGTCTTCTCACTTGAAACAAAGAAACAAACAAAACTCCAAATATATGAAAAAAGCAGTTGTCAAGACATAGGATGTCTGGCAGCAAAGAAGAAAGGAAGAAAGGAAACAAACATGGTAAGCCCTATGATTGCCTTAGCTTACTGCCTTAAGAGAATTTTCACACCATGAAGTAGTACCAAAAAGACAGACCTTCACAGGGAGGAAACACCAAAGGTGTCTAGAGAGTCCCCCTTAAGTATTTAGGAGAGTACTGGTCAGTACATGCATGTGAAGAACCTAATCAAGGCCCAGGAGTAAAGAAGGACTATACCTAATGCTCACACAGTGCTGGGCATAGTGCTTCTTGTCACCATCCAGATTGAAAAACCCCATAATCTTGGGGATTTTGTGAAGTACTGAGAAGGATCTTGCCTTACTAGTGGGAGTGAATTATCCCTAGACTAAACATTATTTTCATCCTGCCTAAAAAAATCTTAAAAGTGAGATACAAATGGATCCAAATTCCCAGGAACATAAATGTATGCCAGAGAAAGAGTCAAAAATATTTACAGAAACACAAAGATAACTACCACCCACCAAGGTAAAATTCACAATATCTAGCATCTGATAACAAATTATCTGTATGAAATAATGCAAAAAAATATTTCCCAAAATGGTGATAAAAATCAGTCAAGGAAACTGAACCAGATCTGACACAGAAAATAATGATAATAATGATGATAAAATAATGAAATGAAAAGAGCATTAGTGAGCTGTATGACAACTTTAAGTGATATAATATACAAGTAATTTGAGTCTTTAGTCTTTGAATAATTGTAGGCCAAAATTTTTCATAAATCTACAGTCCAAGAAGCTCTCAACAAACTCCAGGAAGTATGAACAATACTATGCTAGGTATAAATAGTTGACCATAATCAAATTGTTCAAAACCAAGGATAAAGAGATAGTTTTAAAAGCACCCAAAGAATAAATACATATTATTTACATGGCAGCTGAAGATAAGGATCCAGTATATTTCTCTTGACAAACAATGTTTAAGAAGATAGAAAATAATGAAGCAATATTTTTAAAGTTCTGAAAGAAAAAAGAATCAATCTAGAATTCTATACCTGGTGATAATATTTTTTTTAAATTAAGATAATTAGTCTCTTACAGACATAAAAAGTTGATAGAATTCATTATCAACAGAGCTACAGTATAAGTAATGTTAAAGGAAATCCCTTGATTTTCAGAAGAAAAAGTGATACCACATGGAAATATGGATTTTCATAGACAAATGAAAAGCATAAGAAAATGGAAAAGGTAGTTAAAACAATGAGAACAAAAATTAATGAAACATTAAGTGGGAAAACAACAAAGCAAATAAATAAAACCAACTGCTTATTCTTTGAGAAGATGAACAAAATTGCTAAATCTATGCACATACTGATCAGAAAAAGGGAGAGAAGACATAAATTACCAATATCAAAATTGAGACAGGTAGCATTACTTTAGATTTACAAAGATTAAAATAATAAGAAAATATTATTGACAAATGTATTCCAATAAATTCCACAACTTACATGAAATGGACAAATTTTCTGAAAGACACAAACTATCAAAGCTTACTCAAGAAGAAAAAGATGGCCTGAAGAGCACTATAGATCTATTAAATTGATCTTGAAACTTTACAACTTTTTTAACTGTGATCCTAAGAGTTAAATTATTTCTACAAATATTTTTGAATAAGATAACCATCACATATTTTGAAAAAACAAAATATTCCTGTAAATAAGAATCCATGTAAAAACAAGAGACAAAAAAAATTCAAAATGACTTCATTAAATTTTTTCATTCATACTATGCTTTATGAGGTTTTAAAAATATATATTGATAAAAATATTAATATTTTAGAGTGCTGGGTAGAGTGTTTAATGTCAATCAGGTAAAATCATTTGACATTCAAATCTTCTATATTTTTACTAATTTTTACCTATATATTATTTATTAAGACTAAAATCTCTATAACTGTTTTTTCTCTCCCATTACTTTTGCCAATTTTCGTACACTAAAATATGTTATTAGAGTTATTTGCATTAAGAATTGTTGTGTATTTTGTAGAACTTGTCCTTTTTTCATTCCTAAATGTTCTTTTTTATTTCTGGTAAATCTCCTTGTCTTAAATTCTACTTTGTCAGATATAAATATAGCACTCTATCTTAATTATGTTTAACATATTTTTCCATCCTTTTACTTTGATCTTTTCTATGACCTGTTTTTGTTACAAAAAGCCTTAATCCAATCTGATAATTTCTCTTTATAATTGAAGTGTGCGGTATTTGTATTTAATGTAATTCTAAAATGGTTAAGTTTTAGTCTACCATTTGCTATTTTCTATTCATCCCCTCTGTCCTTTGTTCCTTGTTCCTGACTTTTTTCCCAAATATTAATCAAGGACTTTTCAGTATTCTACTTATTGTATTTTTAGGTCTATTTCTTTGTAGTTTTCAGTGGTTACTCTAGATATTAAAATGTGCATTCTTAACTTCTCCTTGTCCTCATGGAAATATTATTATAACTCTTTGTAAGGAACTTTCAATAAATAATTCTATTTATCCCTACTTAATTGTTTGTGCTTTGGTTGTAATTTTGCTTCTATAATACCTCATTATGCACCTCACAATACATTGCTATTTGCTTTAAGTAGTCAATGCTATGAAGGAAATATGAAGGAAATATATTATATTTAATCCCACATTTACTCTTTTAATCATACAATATATAATAAAATTCTTTCAAAAGATATCACCAATATCACTATTAATATTAGCATTTATGATTTGATTATGATTATTTTTATTTGATTATGATTATGATTTCAGTTTAAGATTTATTTCTAGTTCATTCATGCCCTGTGCCCAGCCCCTAAACTGTTGGAGATTAAGGTAAACATAATATATTAAAATATTTTAACAATTCTCCATTAAAGAGATCAGTTTACTTTTGTTTTATTTTCCAAACATTTTTGAAATTCCTTCCTCCTCAAAATATCATTTTCCCATACAGCAGAATAGTGCTGTTTTGAACTTATTTTAGTGCCTGAGTTGTAATTTTATAATTACTTCCATTTTATTTTCTGTTGGATAGAAAGGAAGAAAGCTGGAATAGACATGAGTTATAATATATCTACATTTGCATAGTACATAAAATAGACTAATACTATCAACATTTGTGTTCATAATTATATCATGTTTACAAGCAAGAAAAAAGTTATAATGCAAGGAAAATTTCCAGGAATAAAATTCAATCAAGAATTTGTTAAAACTTTGTAACTTCTATAGATTATTTTAATAATACAATGCTCATTACGCTTTGTCTTTAATAGATTACTCGCTTTTGCCTTATTGTCTATATGACAGAGGTCTGCAAAAGACACAACCAGTGCAATGTTTTTGGAATTAACTTTCACATAGTTAATAGTTTTCGTGAAAATGACTATCTGATAGTGTTCAAGTGCTGATTTCCTTATTCACAGCCTTGTTGAGCAATTTTCTTTTTTTCAAATGAACACTTTGGGTTTACATGATATATTAATAAAAATAGATATGAAAACAAGAGACTCTCTATCTTTGCGCTATTTCTTTTATACCCAGTAACTTGGTTGTGTGAGACAGGAAGTGCTAGCCAAAAAGTGGGGGGAAACCAACAAACCTGTGCGAATTACGTAAAATACACCTTAGTGGTGAAAACCAAGCTACTTCCAAGCACCGCCCTTTCTGCATCCCGCCCTCCTGGTGTCCCCTGGCCAAAAAACTAAGTACTAGTCAAGCAACAGATTTAAGTTTTTTTTTCTCATCCATTCTCAACATTACCTTGAAGACAGCTCAAAGGGTGATTTTTTTTTTTAAACTACATGTATAAAGTCCAGATCGAATTAGTACAATGAGTCCATGAAATATACCGCCCAGATACTTTAGGATGAACCAAAGACGTAAAAACCAGCCCAGGTTCTTTCTCACCATATATTTCATGTCTGCTGCAGGGGGGTTGACCTGGCTACGCCATTTGTTGTGGGTCGTGACCGTCTCGTCTATAAATTTGCGGTCTGTGATGGATGGGACTTCGGAAGATTTACTGGCCACCAGACACAGACCTAAGATCCAAACGCAACTAAATTGCTTCTTCAAAGCCATGGGAGGACGCCCAAGATTCTCTGACTGCGTAGACCAGTAACGGCTCCGACAACCCGATTTCCTCGGCCCAGGCTCTCCATAGGCTCCAACCTGCTGCACAGCCTCGAGCCCAGCACTGTCACTGAGAATGCTGGGCCACAGTGGGCACTGTTGTCATGCGGACGGGACACAGGGCTGGATTCGCCTGCTACAAAGCCCTGGGCTACAGGGGAAAGCCCTGAGTCTCCCCCCTTGCTGCAGGAGTTGGAAACATGCAAACAGCTTTCCATGTATCCAACCCGGAGTCACCGCACAGTGCACCTGGATTGTAATCCGGTTTGCAACACGAAGGCAGCACAATGTTAGGTAAAGAACGAGTATGGGATGCTGACAATGAGCCAGGCCGGTGCAAAGGATTACATATTAGTTTCATAGACTCAGATTCTGTGTATAGCTTTTTTTTTTTTTTTTAAGTATAAATAAACTGCAGCACTATATTGCCAATTTCTTCAGAGATTGGGAGTAAAAATAGGCAATGCATACACTTGATGACATACTCTGTTCCAAAATACTCACTTGTCAAACATTTAATAGTTTGCTTCTGTTTTCTCATCTGAAGAGACTTAACACCAAGAAAGATAAAAATAAACACGTGAGGCCGGGCGCTGTGGCTCACGCCTGTAATCCTAGCTCTTGGGAGGCCGAGGCGGGCGGATTGCTCAAGGTCAGGAGTTCAAAACCAGCCTGAGCAAGAGCGAGACCCCGTCTCTACTATAAACAGAAAGAAATTAATTGGCCAACTGATATATATATAAAAAAAAAAAATTAGCCGGGCATGGTGGCGCATGCCTGTAGTCCCAGCTACCCGGGAGGCTGAGGCAGAAGGATCACTCGAGCCCAGGAGTTTGAGGTTGCTGTGAGCTAGGCTGACGCCACGGCACTCACTCTAGCCTGGACAACAAAGTGAGACTCTGTCTCAAAAAAAAAAAATAAATAAATAAACACGTGAAAAAGTGTAGCCAAGTAGTTCCTCTTGACAAAATCTTTCGGTTTTTTTTAGTTTGGAACAGACCTACTGTTGGTAACAAGTAGACTCCAAAGGACTGTTTTAATTGGTATTCTACACACTAGACGGAATACATTCAGTTGCTTATTTGACCTACATTGCAATATAAATCAACTTCGCTTGGCTTAATGTTTTAAATCCATTATATCAGTTATATTGTTATTCAATAATAAACCAGCATTTTTTCCATGACATTAGATAACATTTTTTCCAGTATTTCTATGGTTAATAATTTGAAAGTTTTTTTACAATGCTATTTAATTCAAATGAACATATTAATACATTTACGTCTACTGAATGTTCTGCCAAAGTCAACCTTTACACTAAAAAGGAAACAAATAAAGAAAATTGATGAAAGTGTTATTTTTTTTAATAAAAAGCAGAAAATTAGATTATAAAATGGAGAAAATGCAAGGATACTAATGGAAATTCTGTTGGACCATGGAGAAAATATTTTTGGCATACTATCAGATCAGTTATATATGCTACTTTACTATCACACACATAGTCCAGACTAAGCTTCTGATATCCCATACCCCAATATATATAGACATAGATATACACATATATGTATGTGTGTATAAGTGTACAGATAGATATATAGCTATATACATATACATGAATATACACATACATGTCTTAACCTGTGTATATGCATTAATACATACAAATATGTACATGTATATATACATATCAATATATATATAGAAAAAATTTTAATAAAGATATATATATATATATATTTAGAGAGAGAGAGAGAGAGAGAGATATTTTAAGGAATTGGCTTACTTGATTGTGGAAGCCACAGTATAAAATCTGAAGTCCTAGGCACAATCCACAAGGCATTACATAATCTAACCATGCCTAGCTCTCTGGCTCCTTTCCTGCATTCTCTCCTAGCTCACTCTGCTTCAGCCACATCCACCAGTTTGACAAGGATGCTCTCCCCCAGCCCCTTTGTATTTGCTGTTCCTTTTGCCTGCAATGCACTTTGCAGAGTTCCCTTCAGTTAAATCTCCCTTCATCACTCTACATTCTCAATCTGACACTGTCAATTTCACTTAACCTTTCACTTTTTCTTCTTTGTATTAATTGCTACCTGAATTTATGTTATTTATTTCTTTAACGTCTGTCTCCTCTATTAGATTGTAACCTTCACCACAACAGTGGCTTTGTTTTCTTCACTGCTGTATCTCTAGCACTTTAAACAGGTACTGTAGGCCCTCAGTAAAAATTTATTGAATGAATGAATGAAGAAATGAGTATTCTTTAACTTTCTAATAGTATTGTATACAATTGTAAGCCTCTTGAGAGCAGAAACGATATTTTACCTGTCATATATATAGACAATAAATATTTTTAACTCAATAAATAATTTAAAAAGCAATACTAGATAGGTTTATATGTTTTATCTTTCTTAACATTGGGTATAGTGGGAGATAGTTTGTGTTCAGTAGATGTTTACTGAATGCATGAATGAATGGGTAAATGAACAAGTAAATGAAAATTTAAAGTAAAAGTTGAGTTTCAAATGCTATCTATTTTGAATCTGCAAAGTAATAAAGGTTAACATATTGCTAATGTAGTTTCACTTAGTGTATAAATAAATTAACTGGCTTTAACAATGGAAATTTCATAGAATAATGAATTTAAAATTGGCAAAAAATTACAATACATATAGCCAACACATACTCTAAGATTATTACTCTTATAATAATAAATGTTTTAACAAAATACCTGAATTGTATAAAAGTATTTTTTTAGGCCATGTTTCTAATGGCTTAGACAGTTATATTCAGAAATACTGAAACAATTTAGGTATAAAAAGGCTAAGTACCAGGAACAGGCAAGGGCATGTACTAATGTTATTTTCTTCTATATCTGTTTACAGATTGGCCAACGTTAGTTGGGCCCTGGAATTTTTTACAGTCTTTGATAAATTCTTTGAAAAAAGTTTAGGTTTTTTTGTTTCATGTTTATGTGTTTTTTAAAACTTTTACTCTTGCTTTTCATTCTATGTGGGGATAATGGGCAGATGAATTTTATAAAGTGCAGTGGAGAAATAGAAAGGATGATAACATTATACCCATTGACTTTACTATTTTTATGCTTTAAAAATGTATTTGTGTTTTTACTCCCAAACTGGCTCCAATGTGCACATTTTGATAATACTGATATCTTTGGATGTTTGGCTCTTACAAATCTCATCGAAATTTGATCCCCAGTGTTGGGGGTGGGGTCTGGTGAGAGGTGCTTGGATCATGGAGGGGCATATCCTTCATGAATGCCTTGGTGCCCTCCCTGAAATAATGACTGAGTTCTTGCTTTATTAGTAGACACATGAGAGCCGGCTGTTTAAAAGAGCCTGGCATCACCTACTTCCTCTTACTCCTACTCTGGCCATGTGAGGAGCCTGCTCTTCCTTCTCCCTTCATCGGATGCTTCCTGAAGCCTCCACCAGAAGCAGATGCTCAAACCAGCCCTTCCTCTTTACGGATGAGGAGATGATACCCAAAGACATTGTGTACAGAGCAAATATAAAAAAAAATTGACAGCGTAAAGAATAAATGGGGGATTTCCTGACTTCTAGGCCCGTGTCCTTTCTATTATATAATTTTAGATTGTATATTATATATACGTATATACATGCAAATACACACATACAGACGCATGTAATTATATATGTAATAATCTATATATATGTGCACATATATTTAAATTAATATCTATATCTATGTCTAATATCTATATATCTCTATGTAATATACTCAGTTTTGTGTTTTTAAATAAGTGCAAGTTCCTTGAGAGAGGATATTACAGAATATACTTAAATTTTTATCCCTCTCAAAACAATCTGAGGGCTGGACATACAATAGGTGCTCTATGAAATATGTTAAATAGAATTCAGCTATACGAAGAATTACAGAGCAACCGTTGTGGATCCAGGCCGGGCTTTGGCCCTCTCCCCGCGCATGAAAAGCACAGGTGAGTGAGTCCGCTCCAGCTCCCTGCCGGGATTTAGGGGCCCCAAGAGCCGGTCCTGGCTGCGTCTTTGGTTTCGGCAGCAAAAACTGCACCCATTTGGGTTTTCCTGCAAGTAAGTCTGCGAGCACGGTCGGGCGCGGTGGGGCAGGCCACGCCCAGGAACTGGGGTTGCTTAAGGGGCGGTAGATGGCTTGAAAGGAGCCAGGGACTGGGTCCCGCAACCTTTTATCCTCTGGAAATGAAAGATGGCAATTAGAGGCCCTGCGTTGAGGCTCCTGTTGCCGGGCAACCTGCAGACGCGGGCCTGAACTATCCATAGCCCTCTCGGGGAACTGCTCCTTCCAGTCTGTCCTGTCTGAAGTTTTCTAAAGACGGTTCTGGGTGGAAGCACCCTAGTTTATACTTTCTGCAGCCCTCCTACTCGGGACGTGTTCATTGCAGAGCTTGTTAAGTCAAGCCTGTTCCGCTGTCCATTGTGTCCTTTGCCTGTCCAGAAATCCCAGACAGGAGGGAGTGGGGAATTCCTTTGGGTACCCTGCAGGTGCTCTGAAGTATAATTTAAGTTTGGGTGGACTGATGGGAGAGCAAGGAGATTTACTCTGCTTTGTTTAAAATTAGCGATGACCTCAGATTCAATTCAGAGACCTGGGTCTGCGATCACCCTGGATCCACAATAGACTTGATACCTGCCCTCATGGACCTTAAATACTAAATTGTATTCACAAATCTCTTTCCTTTTCTCTTGTTTATGAGCTGGATTAGAGCAATTTATTCTTTGCTTTCCATTATATTCTGACTTGGTATAAGCAACATTAATAGCCACTAATATCATTCACCAAGAGAGAAAGGATGATTATTGGAACTGGAAATAATCATCCTTAAAAAATGAGGGACGTGGGAAGTGAGTTCAATTCTTTTGGTAGCACTAAGATACTAGCCAACATTTATTGCTTGCTAGCAAAAACATCTCATGACTTGGAGTGGGGACAGAAGCCATTCAGAAGTGTTCTTCCCTCCTTCTGCCACCCCCTGGGCCCCAACATATCCTAACTCGATATTCAGTACTTTAGGACAAGGACAACCCTTGGCATATGTTGCAGAGTTGGTTGCTTCACAGTCATTCATTGGGAATGCTGATTCTTGTGCCACAAAGTTTAGGTTTTGGGTATTCCTTAGCCTCTGGAGCTAATTAATTCTTCTATTACCTGTTCCAGTGAGGGTGTAGTGTACTGGAAAGAAGTATGAAAACTGTGTATGAATTCAGGCTCTGCAATAACTGGTAAACAATTTTGCAAAGTAAAATTCACTTTTATGGATTTCAGCTTTCTCAGTTTTAAAATCGAAAAATTTGGCTATTTTATCTCTGAAGTGCTGTCCAACTCTTAAGATTTTCTAAGTAGTGTGTCAGTGGCTTGACTCCTCTAATTCTATAAATCCTGGAGTGTTCCATATATGATGGTATTGTCTTTTGAATACTCTTACTATATCTGAATGAACTATTAATATTTTTGTATTATGTAGTTCTGAATTAACTTAATATCTGAATTAATTGAATTAATTTCTTTAATAAATAGTTATGAAGTTCCTACTCTTCTCTTAGTTTTCTAAGTCCTGAGATATAGGGTGAGAAAAACCAGTAATCTTTGTCTTTATAAGTTTATAGTCTAATGTTCAAGACAAATAACTATCATTCAATGCTTTAAACACCTTATCTAGTTGTTTGAAAACAGAATTTGTATGTTGGCTTTATGATTATGTCATTAGGTACAGAGAAATGACACTGATCTAGGAATATGTTAAAATGTACACATATATTTTGCTATGCATTAATTTGTTGACTAAATAAATATTTATTAAGTATCTATGCTATATTAAGGGTAGGAGATACCAACTTTCCTGGTCTTGACAGTTTGTTAGGGAAATGAAAAGCTAATTACAGTGAAGAGTGATGACTGTCATGACTGGGGAAGTACAAGGACTAGGAGGACCTGGACACTTGAGGGTTTAAATTTTTCTGATTTTATTAATATTATTTGCAAATGAATTGTAGTACTCTAAAATGACCTATAGTGATTTGAAATGGCTATAATAGTTGCTAAGATATAAATAATTGAGAGACTAGTGTGTGGGGAAAATCACTGTGCTAACTGCTCAGCAGCCGTATCTCAACTTGGGTTTGTTAGCTAGCAATCATATGGCAAAGAGAATAACTCTTGTGAATAAACAACCAACCAACCCAACCTCTAAACAACAACAACAAAACCCCAACAAATCGATAAGAACAAAAAACCCATACCAAACCAATAGCAACTTAAAAAAAAATTGCTTCCTTGTGAAAAATAGCTCTGAAAAGAAAGCCATTTGTAGTGCTATATTATTATAGTATTCTCAAATCTGATGGTTTGCGATATTTTCAGAATAAGTCTACCTTTACTGTTGGTTGATAAGTCTTCTTGATTTTACTCTGAAGAGTAGAATTCCAGGCTAAAGGCAAGGGTTTTTTAGGGGAGGAGTGGTCTGGGGATGGGATAAAGGAAACCCTGTATATAAGTTAGTAAGGAACTGGGTTATCTTTCAGATAAAAAGTTTTCATTGGCGGTGAAATAAAAGTAAATTTTAATAATAATGATGGCTACTATTTATTGAATGTTACATTATTCCAGCAGGATGAGAAATGTGCTAACATTAAATTCATTTTACACATTACAAACATTGGTTCAGAGAGATGAAGTTCTTACTCAAGCTTACATTATGAGAAAGTGGCAAAAATTAGGATTATAACATAAATATAACTTCAAGCTGGCACTGTGACATGCTATCTTTAAAAAATCAAAAATAATTTACTATTATAATAAATCCAAATCTATTTATTGAAAGAGAAAGTATGAATGAATAACTAAACAAAAATTTATCCTTGGTAATATAAGGATGAAGTATAAAATAAAATATACAAAATTTTGGTGACAGATATAGTCATCTAATCTTTATTTAATAAATATTTGCAAGCTTGCTATTTTCAACATTCTCTTGCAAGCATTTTTACCAATCACCACATGATATTCATTGGACGAATCACTCTATTTTATTCTTTGTATTAGATGAAGAATACTGTTTGCTAAAAATATTTTCATAATCCTACTCTGGCAAAACCAAAACTGATAAAGGTTTGGAAAATGAGTGAAGAAAATAAATGTATATCTCAATGTGGTAGAGAGGAGGGACATGCATTAATTTCCTATTGCTGCTGAAAGATTATCATAAACTTAGTAGTTTAAAACAGCATAAATTTATTCTTTTACAGTTCTGGAAGTCAGAATGGGTCTTAAAGGGCTAAAACTAAGCTGTCAGCAGGGGTGGTTCCTTCTGGAGGCTCCCGGAGATAGTCTATTCCTTGTCTCTTCTGCCTTCTGGAAGTTTCCCATGGCCTCTTTCTCCATCTTCCCAGCCAGCTGCATAGTATCTTTGCTGCTCTCTGGCCAGTGCTTTCATCCTTACATCTTCTCTGTCTCACTCTAATCTTCCTTCCTGCCTAATAAGGACCATGGTGGTTGCTTTGAGTCCACTAGATAATACTGGATAATCTTTCCATCTCAAAATTCTTAATCACACCTGAAAAGTACTTTTTGCTATGTAAGGTAACATATTAACAGGGTCTGCGGATTAAGATGTGGACCCCTTTGGGGGCACATTATTCAGACTGCCACAGAGCATTATTTAACTATCCTAGAAATAGTTGATTTTGTTGAAAGAAATGCTTAATGAAAGTGATTAACCATATGATTTCTTTCCATGTAGTATTATTATGTAATTTGTATGAATTATTTAATATTAGGGTAAGAATTATTGTATATTAATTTTACCTTTTTCAAAGTATACTGCATGATAACTACACGAATGTGAATGGATTTAGAGGTTAAAGGAGTTGCTGCTTCTTCTAGGAGCCAAATTCAGCCATTCTCTGGAAGAAAGAAATCATCACAAGTATGTAAGCTATATAATTTTGCTCTTTCAGGATGATTCAGTAAATAATTTTCTGATGCTTTCTGTATGTTTTCATGATGACTTACACTTACAAAAATTCAGGGTAAACATTTCTTAGATTTATAGAATGGAACTGCCAAAATTGAAGATAATAATTACATGAAAATTTGCCACTGCTTGAGTTAGTTTTATTTTTTAAAAATATGCTTATTGTCTTATTAGTGTTATATGAAAAATTATCTGTGTACATACATAAAATATAAAAATTGTCAAAGAAGAAAATATATCAACATTTCCAACACTAAGAAGCACCCTATTAACATTTTAGTGGATTTACATAATTGCTAGCTCATTGTAAACTGCATATATACTTTTGTATCCTGATTTTTTATATAACATGAGGCATAAGCATCTTTATATTATTAAAAACTTTAAAAATACTTTTAATGGTTATATTATGTATAATACAGTTGATATTCAGGGAGGCTTGAAAGACCATGAACCAAACTTACTTTAAAGTATACTTTGTTTATTTTAAAATTTTATTTATATATATATTTATTAGAGGCAAGATCTTGCCCTGTCGCTCAGGCTGGAGTGCAGTGGCACAATCATAGTTCACTATAATCTCAAGAACCTGGGCTCAAGTGATCTTCCAGATGTGAATCATTGTACCTGGCCATTATTTTTATTTAAAATGGAATCTCAGTGACTGAATTCTTTTGAATTTATTTATTTTTTACTTACCAATGTGCTTACTTAGCACAATGCTAGATGTTAAAGACCCAGTAATAAATGAGATGAGAAGACTTCTCTTTATGTGCCTCTAGTTTTGTAAGCAAAATTTATAATTCCAACAGTGTTAAGTTCAACTACAGAAATATATACGAAATATAAGCAAAATATATGGAGGTTCAAAGAAGAGGCAATGGTTGAATGTGGGGTTATAGAAAGTTTCAATGAGGAATGCTATCTGTATTCATTGCAAGAATGTACAGAACTTTGATAGGCAAAAATGTGGAGAAGGCAACAAGGGTAGTGATGATTTTATGCTTAAAAATACAGATAGATCACTTAAATTTCTATTTTTATATTTAAATCAAAATTAAATTATTTTGGAGAACCAATATTATATTTTATGGTAGCTAGGTAGGAAGAGTATCTGGTCTTCTAGCATTAGGACTTTTTCTTTTTAACCTTCATAATATCACTATTGTATATTTCACTGATTAATTTTTTTTATTTCAGGATATTATGAAGGTACATTTTGGTTACATCTTTTGACTTTGCCTCACTCAAGTGAGGGTTAGAGGCATGCCCTTCCCCTCTACAATGCTTACCACATCCATTAGTTGTAAGTTTACCCCCCCCAACCCCCTAATCCCTGGAGAATATTACTACCATGTGAGCACCGTAGTGTTGATCAGTCAGTGCCAATTTGATGGCGAGTACATGTGGAGCCCATTCTTCCGATCTTGTGATACCTCATGTCAGATAATGGACTCAAGTTCTATCCAGGAAAATATAAGAGGTGCTAGATCACTGTTGTTTCTTATAATTGAGTAATATTCTATTGTATACATATATCAAATTTTAATAATCCACTCATGCATTGATGGGCACTTGGGTTGTTTACATATCCTTGCAATAGTAAATCGTGCTGCTCTAAACATTTGGGTGCAGATGTCTTTATTATAGAATGTCTTTTGCTCTTTTGGATAGATGCCTAATAGTGCTATTGCTGGATCGAATGGTATTTCTATTTTTAGCTCTTTGAGGTATCTCCAAATTCTTTCCCACAGAAATTGCACTAATTTGCAATCCCACCGGCAGTGTAAGAGTGTTCCTGTCTCTCCACATCCTAGCCAGCATTTGTTGTTTGGGATTTTTTTGATAGGTGCCAATTTCATTGGGGTTAGGTGATACCTCATTGTGGTTTTGATTTGCATTTCTTTAATGATTAGAGATGTTGAGCATTTTTTAAATATGTTTACTGGCCATTATTCTGTCTTCTTTTGAAAAGTTTCTGTTCATGTCCTTTGCCCATTTATTGATGGGGTTGTTTGATTTTTTTCTTATTGATTTTTTTTTAAGTTTTAGATATATTCTTTTTATCAGTCCTTTATTGGATGTGTAGAGAGCAAATATTTTCTCCCATTCTGTAGGCTGTCTATTTGCTATAATGATAGTTTCCTTGGGAATGTTTATAGCTACATAATTCACAATTGTAAAGATGTGGAAACAATACAAGTGCCCATCAATACATGAGTGTATTATAACATGTGGTATATGTATATCATGAAGTTCTATTCAGCCACAAAAAACAATGGCGAAGTAGCACCTCTTGTATTATCCTGGATAGAGCTGGAACCCATTCTACTATGTGAAGTATCCTAAGAATGGAAAAATAAGCACCGCATGTACATACCATCAAATTGGTTTTAGCTGATCAACACCTAAGTGCGCATACAGCAATAACATTCATCTGGTGTCAGGCATATGGGAGTGGGGAGAAGAGGACGGGTATAAACACACATAATGAGTGCGACGTGCACCGTTTAGGGGATGGACATGCTTGAAGCTCAGACTTGGGTGGGGCAAGGGCAATATATGTAACCTAAACATTTATACCCCCATAATATACTAAAAGAAAAAAGAAATAAAAAAAGAGAAATATTTATGAGGAAGTGCTCAAAAAACAAAACAAAACAAATGCTAACTCTTGCCTGTGGGCTTGTGCAGCATTAGTTGTTTTCTGGCTGAAGCAATTTTCTCCCATTTCTTTTCTTTTTTGAAATATTTAATTATTTTTTAATTTCAGCATAATATGGGGGTACAAATTTTAAGGTTATGTACATTGCCCTTGCCTCTTCTCCCTCCTCAAGTCAGAGCTTCAAGGGCGTCCAACTCCCAGGCAGTGCACATCACACTTATTATGTGTGTATATACCCATCCCCTCTTCCCCCCTCCCACCTGCCCAACACCAGATAAATGTGTTTTTTTTTAACAGTTTGGTTACATTTTATATCTTTGCCTCTCCTTAGCAAGGGTTAAAGGTATGCTCTTTCCCTCCACAATGCTCACCACATCCCTCAGATGTGGGTCTACGCCCCACCTCCAGAATCCCTGGAGAACACCACCACCCTTTGAGCACGGTAGGGATAATCAGTCAGTACCAATTTGATGGCAAGTAGGTGTGGAGCCCCTTTATCTGATCTTGTGTCGCCTCACTTTGGATAATGGGCTTAAACTCAATCTAGGATAATATAAGTGGTGCTAGCTTGCTGTCGTTTCTTAGAAGTGAGTAATATTCCATTGTAAACATATACCAAATTTTAATAATCCGCTCATGAATTGACGGGCATTTGGGTTGTTTCCTCGTCCTTGAAATAGTGAATTGTGCTGCCATAAACATTCGGGTGCAGATGTCTTTATAATAGAATGTCTTATACTCTTTTGGGTAGATGCCTAATAATGCTATTGCTGGGTTGAATGGTATTTCTATTTTTAGCTGTTTGAGGTATCTCCAAATTCTTTTCCACAAAGGTTGCACTACTTTACAGTCCCACTAGCAATGTAAGAGTGTTCCTGTCTCTCCACATCCTCATCAGCATTTGTTATTTGGGGATTGTTTGATAGAGGCCAATCTCATTGGGGTTAGGTGGTATCTCATTGTGGTTTTGATTTGCATTTCTCTGATGATTAGAGATGTTGAGCCTTTTTTTATATGTTTGCAGGCCATTATTCTGTCTTCTTTGAAAAAGTTTCTGTTCATTTCCGTTGCCCATTTCTTGATGGGGTTGTTTGATTTTTTCTTGTTAATTCTTTTGAGTTCTAGGTAGATTCTTGTTATCAGACCTTTATCAGAAGTGTAGAGAGCAAATATTTTCTCCCATTCTGTAGGTTGTCTATTTGCTCTAATGATAGTTTCCTTGGCTGTGCAGAAACTTTTTAATTTGATCAGATCCCATTTGTTTATTTTTGTTGCTGCAGAGATTGCTTTGGGGGTCTTCTTCAAGAGTTCTTTGCTTAGGCTGATGTCTGAAAGGGTTTTCCCAACGTCTTCTTCTAGGATTCTTAAGGTTTCATGCCTTAGGTTTAAGTCTGTCATCCATCTTGAGTGGATTTTTGTGAGAGGTTAGAGGTAGGGATCCAGATTCATTCTTCTGCATGTAGCTATCCAGTTTCCCCAGCACCATGTATTTATTGAAGAGAGATTCTTTTCCCCAATGTATATTTTTGTCTGCTTTATCAAAGATTAAGTTATCATATGCAGATGGTTTCATCTCTGGAATCTCAGTCCTGTTCCAAAGATCAATGCCTCTGTTCTTGTGCCAGTGACAGGCTAATTTAATTATTATTGCTTTATAGTACAGCTTGAAGTCAGAAAGACTGATGCCTCCCAGTTTGTTCTTTTTACTTAAGATTGCTTTGGCTATATACGGTTTTTTTTCTGGTTCCATACAAAGCGAAGAATTATTTTTTCTAGATCTGTAAAGAATGATGGTGGTACTTTGATGGAGATTGCATTAATTCTGTAGATCACTTAGGTAATATTGACATTTTAGCAATATTGATTCTACCAATCTATGAACAAGGTAGATTTTTCCATCTGTTTACATCTTCTATAATTTCTTTTTTTAGCGTTTTGTAGTTCTCCTTGTATAAGTCTTTCATATCTTTCATTAAAGATAATGCTAGATATTTAATTTTCTTTGGGGGTATAATAAAAGGTATTGTGTTTTCGATTTCAGATTTGGCTTGATGGTTCTTAGCATATATGAATGCCTCTGAATTGTGTATATTGATTTTGTAACCTTAACTCCTCCTGATCCTTTAGAACTTCTGTTAAAGGGTGCATTTTTTTTTTTTTTTTCTGAAAAGCTTTCTAAATTCCCTAGAGTGGGCTGGGCACACATGCTATGAAGGTGCTCTGTCATAGACTTATTTTTTCCATTATTGTTTATTTGAGTGAATGCTTTCCCCAGCAGACAGAATGCTATATGGGCAGGAATTATCTGTCTTGCTTACCATTTTGTTTGTATCTCACGGACAGGGAGAAGGGGCTTAATAAGTATTTCTTATATTGATTTACTGACAAAAATTATAGCTTTATGGCATTCTCTCAATGCTTATCTCTTATAGTATAATGAGTATATTAATACTGATTCTATTTTTTTTTCATTAAAGCAAGAATGGACTTCTGAATCATGGGCAATTCGGAATTCCTGTCCACCAGTGTAAGTCACATTTCTAAACATTTGAATGGTTTAATGGGCTCACATTTATGACACATTGATTAGTTAAAAAAGAAAATAAAATTATACATATAGCTATGATTGTGAGCCACAGAAAATTCTATATGCATATGCATAGCCTGAAATTAATATGCCAAAATTAAAATAACTCTTGTGATAAGACATATTTATTTTGTTTTTTTATGTTCTTTAATTTTATTTTTATATTTTCCTGAAAAAGTTAAAGTATTTTTTTTATTTAGAAAACTCAGAAAACTAATGCATTTATTAAAGAAATATATTAAATGTTTTCCATTTTATAATTGGTTTAGCCAAATGAATGTAAAGATAAATCTGCCTGTGCTTTAATTTAGAGGATTATGGCCAATTTTACAAATCTTATTAAAATTATTTTATTTTTGGACCAGAATACATTAATTTATGTTTTATATTATTTTTGCCTTTTAAAATTTGAATGATATGATTTTTATATTCTATCAAGTATTTTAGACTACAGGGATTCTTGGAAAATAAAAATTAAAAAGTCAGTAATTTACTAGGCTGAACCACATAACATTGACATTTGTAGAGATTAAAAATGGACAAACATCAACAATTTCATGTGGTTCTATGTGATAGAAACCTGTATGCTCATCTAGACATGAAGATGAGAGTTAGGTGCAAGTGCTAGATATATGACAGTATGTAACAATGGCTGTGTCAGTTGTGTGCTGGGAAATGTTCAACAACTGGTTTTCTGAAAGTGTATTATATGTTTATTATAAATTTTGCTTGTTCATTATAAATAAATTTAAGTATATATTCAGTTGATTATAACTTTTACTGATAAAAAGGATGTGTGGCAATCTACAAATACAAATAAAATATATAAACTCATTAACATAGATCCTGTATAGCCAATGGATCCTCATAGATGCTCTCTTGGTTTTTTTCTGAACTCTGTATCTCTAACTAACCTATAGTTGCAATTAATGAACCAGTGTAGTTAGAACGTGAATGTTGGTTGTTATTTTCATTTATTGTAAAGTGATGTGAATGAATTCTTTGCTGAATCAAATAATAGTTTTGAAGTCCAAAGCAGTATTTCCTCAGTTTATTTTGATGCTATTCACTGGGTGATAGCTATAGACATGGCACACTCTTAAGTTTAATCTGCATTATTAGCATTTTTCTCCACTGCTTTTTTAAGTCTCAGAAATCAACAAAATGATAAATCAAGACCTGATTTATAACATTTGCCAATTTCAGTGTAAATAATCCCACCATGGTTGATTTCAAGCTATCTATGTATTAAGAACATCATTGAGCACAAAGTTAGAAAGGATGCACACTAATATATTACCAAACAGTTATGATAGACCTAAATGCCTCAATCATTAGGAAGTGATACATTTTGAGTATTTATTACTTTTCTTTTTAATATAATTTAATGATAAATTTATATAATTTTATTTTTAATGCTGCCTATGTTTAGCAACCAGCTTGAAAAATTACTGAACGCTTAACAAAAGCCTATCACAAGACAGTAGAAGCAAGCATACCACTGGCTTCAATGTACCTTTTTCTATAAGATATAGCATATATGGTTTGCAATTATTAAAACCTCATTTTGCAAAGTTATGGGATGCATAGATTATTTCTTTCAGGGTTCCACGACTTGATTTGAGAAGCCTTATTGACTCTGATGATGAGGTAATTTTTACTTAGTATTTAATATAATATACATTCATACATAATATTACATATAGAATATGATAAGTAACATTACCTTTTATTTTTTAGGATGATTTTTCATATATTCCACTTAGTACAGCGCAGGTTTATTTTAACCCACCAAATTCATCTTCTACTCTTGGCTGGGTCACACCAGGTCAAATACCATATACTCAGCATCATCTAAATGAACTGGTTAGTATTTATTTGCTTATTATCGTCTTTCAGAATTATAGTATTCATTATTAGCACAGTATCTACTCCAGAAGTTTTATTATATCTATATATTTGCCAAGTTTAAATATTTTATATATTCAAATCCCAAACAATAATGCTGGTGAAATAATTTTACTTTCTTTTGCATTTTTTCACACAAAGGAATGGTATTTTAAAAATTTTGATGAAATCGGTAAAGTACAGGTATATTCTAATATGTAATCCAGGGGTTTTAAAAATATGGCAAAATATTAGATCAGATCTTTCTAGTTTAACAGCATAAGATTGGTTTCTTGGAAATGAAATCATACTTTAGGCTACTAGAATACTGTGGAGTAAGTAAGTAGCTATGTGAATTCCAAGTTGTCTCCTTGGGACAAGTTAATATTTCAGACGTAACTAGTGTAAGTAAATATACTTATTCCATGGTGTTTCCTTGGGGCATACTTATACCTCAGGCATATCTAGTGTTTCATTTCATGTTATGAATACAGGTTCTGACAAGTATTCTAAGTAGGGCTTTCCTGTCTTTTTTTAGTCTTCCACCTGTAGTTGGCTCTCATCATGTTCTCCTCAATTTCATTTTGAAAAATTTCATAAATAATGCCCTAGTGTGTATCTTGCTATGGTTTTTACCCTGAAGCTTTACCTTATCTGGGTTAGACTTGAATATCCTCAACACTTTTCAAGGATTGGATTGGCTTTATATGCTCCTTTTGGAGTGTGTGTCCCTCCCTGAGTAGGTATTTATACCCTCGTATTTACTTGTAGTTCTTTTAGGTTTCTCTTATCCACTGGTTTTATTATCTCTCACTTCTATAGAAATGTGGCAGGGAACCAAATAATACCAGAAGGTAGAATATGTCAATAGTCTAGAAATGGCAGCCAGTGCTTCCCAGCATTAGTAATCTCCAGTCCCCATGTCTGTTCTGGAAAACAATGATTAACAATAAAGTTCTTCTGGAGCAGGAAAAATAAAGCTTATAAAAAACTCCTAAGAAGAAAGAAAAGTCAATTTTTCTCCTTTCAAATTTTTTTAGAACCATTACTGATCTTCAGGTAGAAAACATGGTACAGTCTTACTGATATTTAAGATGAGTGCCCATTCCAAGCAGTTCTATCTGCTCTAATTTGGTCAGTGATGCTGTACCAGCTGAATGTTTTAAATATCATCTGTATTTAGAAAATAGATTATAATGGTCTGTCTATTAGGCATAAATGCTAAGGTAAATGGTAAACCCATCAATGTCAATAAGGAAAATAAAAATTATTTAGATTTTTTTTCTGGTGGATAGCATACTTTTCTTTCTACCTGTAGGAGGAGGATGTGATACCTGAAAATTTACCAGCACCAACAGAAAAATATAAACTAAAATATCAGCAATATGAAACTGAAATGAGAGATGGATATAAGCAGTTTAGTCAAAGAAATGCAGAAAAGACAAAATCAAATATCACTCATCAACAATCTCCAAGAAATAAGATAGATGAAAAGGTAATGTACGAGGCTTTATAAATTTCTAATGAGATTTTAAAAAACTGCACCAAAATTTCTTTTTGTCTGATATGTATTGCTGTTAGTCATAGTAAGATAGGAGCTAACATTTATTTCTGTGTTTCAGGGACTATTTTATGTATTTTGCTTAGAACTATTTCATTCTTCACAAAAATTTTAAAGGATTATTATCACCATTTTCAGACACAAAAGTCGAGCCACATGATTTAGTTATCTTTTCTCTGTTAGAAGCTTTTCACTTGTCTTGAGATTGGAAATTAGACAATCTTATATATGTATGTATATATTTGATTATATATATTTGATATATACTTGATTTAGCTGTCTTGAACTTGGTTGGTCTCACAGTCTAAGTGTTAAAGTTGAAAAGTAGTTTCAGACTTTATAGTGACCTTGTTTTAGTCTAAAACTTTATCACTTCGTGATTGTCTTTTGCCTCATTTTGGGAAAGTTTTTTTTAACATCATGAATTACTGAAATTTTTATACTTTCATTTAATATTAATTAGGTATGAATTCACTATTCATGAATATAAGAGCAAATTAAACATAATAAGTTTAATGGCTTTCATAAGGAAAAGTCAATCTTGATTTTTGGAAAGAATAATACTGACCAAAAGAAGAGGACACTTGGATAGAATTCTTAATTCAGTTAACCTTCTATAAGAATAATATATTTTCAGGGAAGTCTGATGATTGTACTTGCTTAGCATTTTCCTGTAGGTAAAAAAAAATGTTAAATTGATAAATAGGTGTATCATGTCAGCTATTTTTCTTTAATCCATGTAGGAACTTTCTAGAACTAAATAAATAGCATAGTGTTTAGCTGAAAGAGTAATACAATTAATGGGATTATTTGATCTTTTTAATCTTACAGGCATTTTTCTAAACCGAAATAGATGTACACAGATATGGTAACCTGGTGTATATATTACTATGGAAGATAATTTCACAACCCTTTAGCATCTGGTCATGTATTATTAATATTTGCAAGATATACCATGTGCTATTTATATCACTGTAAATATACTGGGAAAACAGAATGAGGGTTTCCATAAGTACTTGCTTTATTGAGCGGCAGCAAAATGATTCTAAATATTTTCAAAGTAAAACTTTTATTTCCTTGAACACAAGTTCAAATGGACATTTGTTTACTTTTGTTTTAAGAGAAGAACAAATCTCATTTTCAAATCTTTCCATATAATTGGTATATATATATATATACTTATATATATACACACACATACATATATATATAGTATGAATAAAGAGTTTTATTGAAGTCAATATGTGCATATTTTCTGCTGGGAAAGATACTGTTTTGTTTCTTTAATTTTTTAAATCTACATTAAAAGTGTGAAATTATTATGTTTAATATGTTTTTGGTAGTCTTACAGAAGAACTTCTATAAAAAAGGTTTCCTTAGATTTTCTGTATAACAATCATGTACTTATGGGGTTTGAGCATTTGATGCCTTTTTAAGTGTAAATCATTTTAAAAATCAAAACTGCTGTATAAAAGGACTACTAGTAAATTCTGTGACAATTAGTGAATTAACTCTGTAATAGTAATCTCTGAAAATAAAAGAAGTCCGTGATACCAGACCTGTAAGCCCCTCTTTAAAGCAGGGAGCTATATGTAAATTGATCCTCTTTCCTGATAAAGAAAAGCCAAGGTTACATATATTTAAGATCCAGGACAATAACTAATGACCACAGCTGATGGTTATAACAAATCAGGCTGATACATGAATCAGTTAATAATCAGTTGAATAGTAAGATAAAAGTTTGAGCATTTGGTCAAGGGCCTCAGGCTGCTCCCATTCATGGTGGAGGGTGAAGGGGAGCCAGCTGTGCAGAGATTACATAGTGAGCAAGGAAGCAAGAGAGAGAGGAGGCAGGTGCCAGGCTCTTTTTAACAACCAACTCTTGGGGGAACTAATAGAGTGATAATCCATGCACTTCTGAGAGAGGGCATTGATCTATTCATGAAGGATCTGCATCCATGAACCAAGCACCTCCTACTAGGCCCCATCTCCAAGACAGGGGGGATCAAATCACAACATGAGATTTAGATGGGACAAACATCCAAACCATAACATTTCTAATGGCAAATTTCCTTTGTTGAGTTTCTCTTCCACTTAGTATAAAAAGGTGATGAGCCTCTTGTCAAACTGTTTGGCTACCTAAAATGTAAACTTGTGTGTGCATAATGTTTTTAAAATAATGAAACATCTTTAAATAAAACATGAAAATCATTAAACTTCAATTTCATATAAAATATCTTAATTTCCTAATTGTACTTATTATTAATCATTCCAGATATATCTTTTCTCACCCATTCTATTTAAAAAATACACCTCTTAGTTTTAGAAATGATCAATATAATTCATTCATATATTATTATTTCAACAAATAGTTATTGAATGCTTAACTCTATGGGCAGAGTTCAAGGGAGCCTGGGAGCCAGATCAGAAGGCCTCATAAGCCTTGTAAGGACTTTGTGTTTTGCTCTGAGGCAGAAAGCTGATTTGTTCTTTTGAGAATGAGTTTTATTGGGAATAGGGCAAAGCTGGAAGCAGGAACACCTTTGAGCAGGCTGTCACAATAATCCAGGCAAGATACAATAGTGATGGCTTGGACCCAGGTAGTGGTAGCAGCGTCTTTGGGTAAGAAGTGGTCTCACAAGGTCATATTCTGGATAGATTCTGAAGGTAGGGCTGAGATTTATGGATGGATTGGTTGTAGGCTTGAGAGAAATGGGAAATCAAGAATGATTCTACATGGATGAAACTGCAGGACGCTATGCTAAGTGAAATAAGCCAGACCTAGAAAGACAAAATACAAAAATGTTTTCACTTACAAGTGGAATCTAAAAAAGTTGAATCATGAAAGTGGACAGTAGAATGTTGGTTGCCAGGGTCTTGGGGGTGGGGGGTGTTGAATAAATGGGGAGATGTCAGCCAAAGGGTCCAAACTTTCAGTTATAAGATGAATAAGTTCTGGGGATCTAATGTACACATGATGGCTATGGTTACAAATACTGTATTTTTTACTTGAAATTTGATGAGGGAGCAGGTTTTAAGTGTCCTCACCACGTGAACACACACACAGACATACACAACTATATGTGGTGATGGATGTGTGAATTAATTTGATTGTGGTAATCATTACACAATGTATACATATATCAAATCATCATGTATACCTTGAATATACACAATTTTTATTTGTCAATTAAATATTTTAAAATTAATTTTTGAGAAAGAATGACTCTGAAGCTTTTGGCCTGAGCAGTTCCCATTAACTGCAGCTGGGGGAAGACCACAGGGAAGTCTGGTTTGGGGAGGTTAAGTTTGAAGTACCAAGTGGAAATGTTATTGTTTTCCTTTTGTAGAAGGTTGAAAACTAGCTGAAAGAAAATAAAATCCTTTTGAGAGGGTTTTTTTCAAACTAAACATAAGGTAGTGCTTTGCTTATACTTAAATATATATATTGAATTAATCTGCTCAATTTACCCTATGTAATGCTTGGCATCTTTTTGGTGCCTGTATAAATAAATCACTACCTATAAAAAAACAGATATATTAATGAGTAAATAAATACAATTATGAAGTGTCCTCATAAATTGATTTTCAAATAGTAAATATTTAATCAAGTTTCAGTATTCATTTATTGAATAAATATTTATCACATACTCACCATGTGTGATCCTGTTTTGGCACCAGGGATAAAAATGATAGACATGGTTCCTGTCCTCATGGAACTCACATTAGGAGAAGCAGGCAATGAATCATTAACAAATATATTAACATAATAATTTATATAGCAATCAAAGGTCATAAAGACAGAGCAGAGTGTGAAGATGGAGTGTGACCTTTCAATGAAAATCTAAAGTAAAAATAAGCCCTGGGGATAAAAACTCTTGAAATTTATTAAGTTTTTGACAAGTTTCTACTCTGTTGGGACATTTTTGTTGTTATTAAAGTAGTTTAAACACATCTCATATTCTAAGAAAAATTTGGTGCTTATCTCTTTAGCATCCCAAAGAATTCTTACCTCAAAGATTACACCCATCTTTTAATACTTTATTTATGAATTTAATTTTATAATGGATTGGACATGCCCACATTTATTAATTTTGCAAAGACTTACCATGGACAATAATAGTTATAATAGTTGCCACTTTCATACTGTATCTCAAAATTTTTATAAGTGTTGGACATATATCATCTCTTAATTCTTTTAGTGAGGTAGATGCTATAATTAATTCCCATTTTGTCTATGAGTAAACCGAAGCACAGAGAGGTCATCTAGCTGGAAAGTGGAAGAGATGGGTTTAAACATGGGCAATGCAATTGTCAGAGTCTGTACCCTTAACCCCTATACAAATAATCACTGAGATATTCAGTAGTTATATATTTCCTTATTTTGTTAAAAACCAATATTCTAGTAATTATAATTACTAATTGGAATTAGACCTAGGTTTGAATAACAACTCTTCCATTTACTAACTGTGTCTCTCCAAGATTAAACTCCGGATGTCTTACTAATAGTTTTCTCATATATTGAAGAGAATAATAATAATAGCTTCCTCATTCATTTGTTAGGGGGAAAATTAAATAACATATCTGAAACACTTAGCCTGGCATATAATAAACTCTAATTTTCAATTAAAAATAGTATAAATATGGGTATGATCGTTCATTTGTTGCTTTCATGTATAGTGTGTACAAGGTGACGAAGCCAGCACAGATGACCTTACAACTCTGGATAGGAAAGCCCTCTTACAGCAAGGTTATGCTGACAACCCTTACAGTACAGCACAGAGTGCAAGAAAATTGGATGCAGTAAGTTTTCAGCGTTTTTACTTATTTGCTAAGCCATTGAGATAATTTGCCCTCCTTTATAGACTTATAATTGAACATATAATTGCAACAATTGAATTTGGACTGAGATAAATATTCATTAATGTGAAAACTGAGTCCTCATATTTATAAATGATTGACTTGTGTTTGGTATATATTCTGTGGAAAAATTGTCTTGAATCTTTGCAAGTTTGTAAAAATGTAGTTTATACTGTTCAAAATAAGATATGAGGTCAATCTGGCTGTGACATCTGTCACCACATTGATCACCAGGGTTGATTCGGCTGCTCTGGCTGGCTAGGTGGGTGTCACCTTGCTGCCTCAGAGCTCCATGGGAGTCCCTCCTGAAGCTGCATGCTCCATCCAAGGGGATGACCTTTCCTGATAGAGGGAGACCTTTTCTAGTCAGGGATATACCTGTGCCTGTGCTCCCCTGCTAGAACTTCCAAACAGGCTCTCAAATGTTAATTGGCCGCTATTAATGTTAGTGGGCTTATTTGGTGTTGCTTCCTCCTCAAAAGAAGTAGCCTACCTGGTTATTTTTTTGAAAGTCATAAGCTGCAAACTCTAGAGAAATTCAGGCTAGTTAAGGAAAATGCTGGAAATAAGGTAATTTTTTTAAGGAAAAGTGAAGCAAAATTCCAGATTTTCAATATTAACTTTAAATTATGTCTTTTACAAAGTCAATTAAGTTGATTAATATTGCTTAGACTAGTTCTGGCACAAAAGATAATTATGGCATTTCCGTAATGTCCTGGGGCAAGGGAGCCATGCGACTTGAAGTTCACTGGCTACCCCAGACGCTCCTAGGTGATTAATATCTTAGATTTACCTGTGACAGATTGACAGAAATCAGTGTGGTAGCTGACAAGTTGGGAAAACTGGTTTAGATAGCTAACTAATAACAAAGCAATATGGATTTAGCTAGTTACATTATTATTGTTATTATTATTTGAGTAGAAGTTCAATATATATTTTATTTGGGTCACAATCATCCAGAATCAATTATGTTCTGAATTGACAGTAATGTGTAATCAATCTCTAGACAGGTGGACTGATTTTCTGTGGATGTCCTAAGTTGCAAATTTGTGATAGTTCTTTTATTAAAACCACATGCATATTGTTTCCTATGCCTATTATTATTTAGATCTTTATGCTTCATAGAATAAAGAGTATTACCAGGATTATCCTAAACATTAACAACTACTTTATAAGGCAAAATAATGTCCCAAATAAAGCTTATTTTGATATATCCTAAAGTTTTATTTGAAATGAATGTTACCGATACTTAAGGCTTATTGGGTATATAATATAATCGAAACCCATCTGGATGTTATTGGATGTCTTTTGTTACAATTACATTGTTAGTGGTAATGTATCCAAATTCATCACTGAGTAAGTTTTACCTTATTGTGGTAGCACTTATTTATCTGTTTTTTTTCCTACCAAGGAAATGTTTATATGAGTAAGCTTTCAAGGCATATGCAATTGGCACCAATTTGTTTTCAAAATGTAGGTGGCGACTTCCTTATTTAATTTTTTTTAAAGTTTTTATTTTTTCATATTATGGGGGTACAAATATTGTTAAGGTTACATATATTGCCCCTGCCATTCCTCCCCATGCCCTCCCCCCCCACCCGCCTTACCAAAAATGAATGACAGAATCAGTGAAGTATGGTTTTTATATCCATCTCGTCTAGTTCTTTTGTCATTTTTCAGTGTTGACAGATCCTTGCATCAGTGTGACTTCTGCTCCTAATCTGCTTTGTGTTTCACAGACCTTTAAATCAATGTGCCTGAGGGTGGTTCTAACCTTTTCTACAAAGTATAAGCCACCATAAACTTCAGCACTCAGGTGGGCTGTCTGCATGGGCTGTATGATCACCATTAATCTCCCCTCTTTGGCTTGCTTCTGGGTTTTCCATCTATGTCCTTGCTGGCTGATGTGGATATTTTCTGTATATAATTTCCATGTTTTAGTCAGTGTCCACTTTCTGAATCGCCCTTAGATATTATAAAATATACCTTGCTTTACCTGTAAGTTGCACAATTTTAACTTTTTAATTGTCATTTTAGAGTTATTCCTAAATAAAAACCTTATAAAGTGTTTATGAACTTAGAGAACAATAAAAGATGTATTACATTATATAAATTTTATATGGGACATATTTGCATGTTTAATTAAACTATATGTCGTAAATTTGTGCCAGACAACAAAACTAAATTCAGTGTAGGCTAACATTTAAATAATTGTGCTGAGCTTTTTCAGGTTTCTTAACAAGTTTTTGCTTTTTCTTTTTCTGACAGACCTATAGATATTCTAAATTGATATTTTGTGTCAGTCTTAAATAAAGCATTCTCCTAAAGGTTACAAAGCCTCTATTTTAAACAACATGATCTTACTAGATTTCATTTATTAGATTTATCAATGGGGATGACAGACATTTACATTCTAAAAATAGAACAAGCTTTATTTAGAATTCTTAATTTTTTAACCTCTTTTATTTTCCCCTCAAAAGAAACATTTAAGTCATTATCATTGCATGATAATCTGATTGGAATTGAGTAATTACAAGTCTTTCAATTTGATGTGACCCATATTTTCAGATGAGTTGGGAAAGCAAAAAATACTATGAAGACAGTTTAATCAAACCAGTAATTGAGAAAAGTTGATTAAGTATTATTGATGCATTGTATACAAAGAAAAGATCATTATGCTTTCAATGATGGGAGTTTTATTTTTGTTTTGCTTTGGCTTAGATTTTTGATGTAAGGTTGAATGATTCAAACTTAGTTTGTTTCCTTTTTGACTGTGAATAGTTTTAGACCAAATTCTCTTTGTGTCAGGGTTAGTATTCTTCTTGGAGCAAGTTAAGATGCCTTTTTGCAGGATGCCTTGCCTCTTGAGGGAAGGCAGGAAGGGGAGTGATGTCATACTCCTCCTCCTTTAGTCTGACTCCATAAAATGCAAAGGTAACTCACTGGAATATCTGATTATTTCTACCAAAATGTAAGTGCATTACTTTTTAGGAAATAGATAATACTGTGGATTAAATAATTGAAATTTAAATTTGTTAATGATGCAAAGTAATCTATATTTGAGAAGGAAATTTGAGATGTTTAATTTATATTTTATAATTTTTTTTGTTAAATACTGCATTATTCTATTTTATGGACAATGAAATTGTCTTTATCTTCTCAGGAAATTGCAGCTGCAGAGAAGAAAAAGCAGATGGTTGCAGAGCAAGTGATGATAGACCACTTATCCAGGTGAGAATTAGTAACTAGTAATAGAAATCCATTTGGAAAGTTGTCATTAAATTTCTTTTTCATGAATGACATCCATTGCTCATTGTCAATCAATGAGCAGCTGACTCAAAAGTTCCCAAACTTTCTCTGTTCACTGCACTCTTAGTGTTTTAGTAATTTTTTCACACCACTCTCTTAGACCAATAAAAATACCTAACAGTCTATTTACTATTTTTGTCTAAACAATATAATAAGTATTTATTTCCTAACAACCTAATGAACATTTGAAAAAATAATACACATAACTTGAAAGAAAATATTTTAATTTTATTCTTGTTTACTAATGAGCTGTATGAATCTTTTAGGCACTGCACAATCTCAAATTTTAGAATCATTTACAATGTTGCCACCCTAACTTTCTATTCTACATTGATTTTCACATATTTTGTTTTTTATTACAGCAACTGTGGAAAACCCAGCTTAGCAAAGATGTAACATCACTGAAGAGGCTTAGCATGATATAGTGTTGAAACTGTGAACTACATTGTGCTAGTAGTTTACCTGGTGTGCAAGTGATGTTGAATGTCACTGTGTTTCCCTCAAAAATTAAAAATATCCCACAGTGCCCCATGAGTTCACTGCAGGACCCAAGTTTGGTGCAGTTTGAGAACTGTGAGACTGTCGAGAATTTTGAAACCCCTCAGAAAACTATATAAAGTTTTAACACATACAGTGCAAAATTGTATGACAACACGGAAACATGGTGGGATTTCAGAAGAGAGGCTGGAGTAATCTAAGAAATCATCAAGGAAAAAATAAGACTTAAGTTTAGCTATGAAAAAATTGTTTAGCTAAGTGGCAGAGAGAAAGAATGATACTCTACATGCATATTTTTCAAGTGAATTATTTGAAACAATTAGTTATGCCGAGAGTCTCCATTATATCTCCTTCCATGATCTCAAGCATTTATTTGATTTATTTCTTCACTTCCAGCATGCCACCACCACTGTCCTTCATAAGTTGTGATATCTGTATTGCTAGAACAGTGGTGATTTCTCAGTTTTCATTTATTTGACTCATCTGCAACATCTGTTTTCATTGAAAATTTTCTTCTCTTTGAAACACTTCTTTTTTCCACGTGGCTTCCTACACACCACACGCGTTTGTTTTCCTCCTACCTTCCACACCTTCTCAGTCTCTCCTGGTTCTTCTTCATCTCCCCAGTCTTTAAATGTGGACATGCTGAAAGGCTCAATTCTTGGACCTCTTCTATATCTGCTTTCTAAGTGATCTCGTCCAGTACCATGCCTTGAAAACCACATATATCCTGAACTAAGATATCAATGAAATTTATTCCAATCTGAGTTTCTGAAGGTTCATTGTCCTCTTTCTCATCATGACCACATCATCTTTAATTTTCCTCCATGATAACTCCATTCTTCAAGTTATTTAGGCCTTAAATCCTGGTGATTACTTTGATTCTTCTCTTTCTTTCAAACCCTATATTCAGTTTGTCAGCAAACACTGTAAGTCCTACCATCAAAATAAATTTACACCTTCTGCTGCACCATCCTTTTCAAACCATTTTCTTCTGTCTCCTGGATTATTTCAGCCACTTCTTAACTGGTCTCTTTGTGTCTGTGTTTGCCTCTTATTGATTTATTTTCAACCTGGTAGCCAGAGTTATCTATTAACAGGTAAGCCAGATCAAACCCTTTAGTAATTTTCCATCCCAATCATAGTAAAACGTACAAGACCTATATGTTGGTTATATGTCACCACAAAACTAGTAGCTTAAAAAAATCATCAACTTTTGCTCATGTGTCTTTGTTACTGAACCCAACAGGGGTCCACTTGCCTGGTGCAGCAAAGTCAGACATTGATGCTGAGAGTCACAGTGGGAAAAAAAGGCATGCTATTGCATGGTGCCAAGCCAGAAGTACAGGCAACTAACACTTAAGACTGGAACTCTCTGATGGCTCACAAGCAAGGATTTTTAAAGACAGGGATACATTTCCAGAAAGCAGAAGTTGCAGGCAAAATTGTACATCAGTACATGGAGGTTATGGTTTGGCCCTCAAAAGATGAGATACTTTGAAATGGGGGCTTAAAAGTCATACGTAGATTCAGAAATTCTTTGATTAGCAGAAAGTAATGGTAGGGTGGGCATGGCTCTCTCCAGGCCCCTAAGAGCAGTGAGAGTTCAGTCTTTAGTTCCCCCTTAATCTACATTTTCCATCTGGTGGGGATTTCTGAAAAACAACTCAAGAACAAATGTTAACATGTTATCTTTTAGTTTCCCTAAGCTAAAATACCTTTTGACTCTGGCTTGCTTGGAGGAACTATTGTTATTATCTTCTTGATTATTAGGTTGTATATTTACTTTTCAAGGCTAGCCAGGTGCCCAGAAATTCCCTTGAAAGGACTTACAATTTTTCCTTTATTTCCATGCTTTGGGGTAAGTGTTGGCATAGCAGGCCTCTAAGGAGTGCCCTTGCTCCACCTAATCTTTAGGTTAGCTGTCCAGAGTAGGCTTGGCTGGATCTTACTTTTTACTTTGGCCAATTATATATGAGCAAAAGTGATGTTCTCCATTCTGGGCTTAGACCTTGAGAGATCTCATGTGTTTCCACTCGCCCTTTAGTGTTTCTGCCATTCTGAGAGAAGAACACTGCTTGGTTAGCCCACTAGTCTCAAGAAAAAGTTGCTTCTACACGTGTAGCTGGGCTACTTAGCTGATCCTAGATAAGCAGATCCCCAGATACCCTTGCTTGCATGAGTTAGTTCAACTGAGATGAGCCGGGCCATACCGCTGTATCTAATTGACCAAAGCAAGTCAAATGCCTAAGCTCAAAGTTGAGAGGTGAGAAAGTACATTCCACCTGGAATAAGGCAACAGCAAGTATATAGATCCTTTGGGGCCAATAATACAGTCTATCCAGGCCTACCATTGGACCTTGTATCTTGTACTTCTCCCCCTCTTGTCCACGCTGCTCCAGTTGTTTGGCTTGCTTCCTGTTCTGGAACATACCAAGTTCCATTCCTGTCCTAAGTATTTTGCATTTATCTTCCCTTTCTGCTTGGAATGCTTTTCCCCCAGAAATTTACATGGCTGTTTGCTCAGTTTGCCTCTATCTTTCTTTAAAAGTCAACTTGCTAGGGCATACATATAGTGGCCACCAAATAAAAAATGCATATCCCCTTCCTCAAAACTTAATATCGGCCGGGCGCGGTGGCTCAAGCCTGTAATCCTAGCACTCTGGGAGGCCGAGGCGGGCGGATTGCTCGAGGTCAGGAGTTCGAAACCAGCCTGAGCAAGAGCAAGACCCCGTCTCTACTATAAAAAAATAGAAAGAAATTAATTGGCCAACTAATATATATATATAAAATTAGCCGGGTGTGGTGGTGCATGCCTGTAGTCCCAGCTACTCGGGAGGCTGAGGCATCAGGATCGCTTGAGCCCAGGAGTTTGAGGTTGCTGTGAGCTAGGCTGACGCCACGGCACTCACTCTAGCCTGTGCAACAAAGCGAGACTCTGTCTCAAAAAAAAAACTTAATATCTTCTTACAACTTCATTTTTTTTCCCATAGGGATATGTAATTTACCTTATATTTTTTTGTATTTACCACATTAATTATCTGTTTGCCTCTTTAGAATGTGACCTCCATAAGGGCAGGGCTCTTAGGAAGTTTTGTTCATTTTTGCATTCCCATTGCCCAGTATGGTAGGTGTCCAGTAAATACTTGTGGAATGGGCGAATGAATGAATGAACTGGAGAAGACTTGGTTAGAGTCAGCAGGACTGGGTTTTAAGTGTAGCTGTATGACTAATTCACTGTTGGGGCTTTCATATTTTCCTTTCTATGTCTTGATTTTTGCCTTTGCCAAATTAATGTTAAGATTTCTTATAACTCTAACATTCTGTGTGTATACATTTAACACAGAACTTATAGATAAAGTATGAGAATAGAATAGATGCCACTTTCTGGTAAATGCCAGGCATTTTCATTTGGGAAATTTAAAAAATATCTTAATGCTCAATTTAAAAAGATTTGGTTCCTAACTTGGCATACAAATGAACAGAATCTATAGTATATGGTAGAAATACCTAAAGCTTTTCCTGAATGTTCCAGCAATGGAAATAGCCTACTAAATTTATAAATTCTTCTATTCCTGAATTACTGTTTCACCTTCATATTTTTTGAAGACTCATGATAACTTTGTAAAAAATGTCTACTCACTTATTCTTTTATCCAGTTCAGTCATCAAACTCATCCAGACTTGGGGTTTTTCTAGGCAAGTAGAAAAAAAAAAAACAGAGGACAAGATTGTTAAGGATATGTAGAAGTTTATATTTTGATGAATCATGTAATCCAAGCTGGGTAAAGAGGAAAGTGAGGATATCCTGATAGCCTATCTTTACTATATTAATGATGACAATGACAAACAAAAACCATAATATGACTCTCACATTCCTTACATTATTAATTGGATCTCATTTCTTCTGTGGAGTTACTATGGGTCTTTCTATTTGATGACCTCAAATCCAATTAGTTTCATAGTTCTTCCAGTGTTTCTTGAATTTGTTCTTTGTACTACATCTATTTTTTTGTTATTTTTTATAGTTTTGAGGTACATGTGATAATTTAATACATTCATATAATTTGTAAATATTAAATTAGTTACTTGAGATATTCATCACCTTAACAATTTGTCTTGTCTTTATGTTAGAAACATTCAAATTATTCTCTTCTAGCTGTTTTTAAATGTGCAATAGATTATTGTAAACTATAGTCACCCTATTGATCTATCAAATACTAGATCTTATTTCTCCTGTCAAATCCTATGTTTATGCCATCTTACTATAGACCCTTACTATCTCTTTTCTAGCCTCTTGTGAAGCCAACTGATAGGCTGTCATGCCTCTGTATTTATTCATATTCAGTAGCATATGTAGTAAAAGGGCAATTGGGAGGCAGAGCCTTTGCTATTGAACCCTTTTATAAAACTTATTAGATAATAGGCATGCTCCTAAGCAGTATGCCTGTATTAACTAACTTATTTAATCTTTACAACAATTCTTTGAGGGAAGTACCATTCTTACCTCTTTTATATTAATAAATGAAGAAACTGTAGCCTAGAGCTAAATAAATGACTAGATGAGACCACACAGCTAATTATTGTCAGAGGTAGGAATTCAACCCAGGCAGTCCAGTTCCAGAGTTCCAGAATACTCTCATGCATTATACTGTGTGCTGTCCTGCTTCTGTGGCCTCATATAAACTGTTTCTTTGCTTGTGGTGCCCTTCCTTCTCTTCCGGGTGTTAACTTCTACTAACCTTTTAAGAATCAGTGCAAATGTCTCCTCTTCTCTATATCTTGTTTTCCAGGACTTCAGTCATCCTCTTCTATGTTTGTTTCTATTGTGGCACTTATCACTTTCTGTTCTAATTCTACTTTTCCTGTGTTCTCCCCCCTTATATTATCAGAAACCCACATGGTATCTATTTGTTTAAAGAATAGTAAGAGAAAGACATGCAGCTCTTAGCTTCCTCCAAAATTTCAATTTATTTTTAGATAATCTGATGGAAAAAAAGATAGCAATATTCACTTTATTATGGCCAGTATTTTTAAATAATTAAATTTATTTATATTTGATAAAAGTATTATTTTGACAGTAATGTGAATTTGCATTTGCTACATGAGTTTTTCCAACTACTTATAAACATGTGAATATCACACATTATCAGGTTTTATTGTCAAACTTTCTATTTTCCTGTATAGGGCTGTCATCAGTGACCCAGAACAAAATTTAACCATTGAAAAAAGAGAAAGTGCTCGTATCCTTCCAGATTCAAAGACAGCCCCTGTTCGACTTAGAAAAAGAACACTGCATGAAACAAAGTAAGTAGATTTTAATTATATAAAATGAGGATGCACTATGCTATAAAAGTATTTTTAGAACGTACTTCTGTATCTAACTGAAAATTTTTGTGTTTTTGCTTTTTTTTAATATGTAAAGAGAAGTGGAATTTTTAGAGTTCAGCTCCCAGTGGCCACCTTAAGATATTGGGGGAAATACCTTATTCTACTCTCTTTGCTCTCAAGATCTTTTATTTGTAATTTGGAAAAAAAAATATGCAACCTTCAGAGATAATATATATGAAATGTATAATGTAGTAACTGAGACATTTGTATGTGTGCAATATGTGGCTAAATCTCATTGATATATTAAGAATTTGTATTCCTTATAAGGGTTGTTTTTGCATTGTAGCCTATAAAATATTTGGGTTGATAGGGACTTTTATAGTCCCCTGGTGCAGTCCACTTAAATTCCTCAACAACTTCGTTGATAACTGATATCTAGCCTCAGCTTTAATAGACAGAAAATCTACTGGTACCTACAGTAGCTCTTTCATATTTTCAGACTGCTTTAATAATTAGTATTTTCTTGTCATTTTTATCTTTTTGTCTCATTCTTATTTTGTGAAAGCCTTTGCTTTCATAGATTTAAATATTTGAAGGCATCACGTATTAGTTTCCTAACGTTGCTGTAACAAGTACCACAAACTTAGTATTTTAAAACAATACCAATTTATTCTTTTACAGTTCTGGAGCTCAGAAGCTTCTGGACCTCAGAAGTCAAGGTGTTAATAGGGCTGCATTCCTTCTAGAAGTTTCAGGGGCAAATCCATTTTTTTGACTCTTGCAGCTTTTAGAGGTTGCCTTCATTCCCTGGCTCATGGCTCCTTCCTCGATAAAGTCAGTGATGGCAGGTCAAGACTTTTTCATACCACATAACTCTGATACTCTTTTGTAGCTAAGGTGTACAACATGATGCTTTGATATACATATGCACAGTGAGATGTGTCTGGCTTCTTTTACTTAACATATGTCTGTGAGTTTTATCCATTTTATTATTTATAATTGTCTTTCTTTTTCTCATTGTTGTCCAGTATTTCATTGTATAAATATATTGCAACTTATTTATTCACAGATGTTGATGGGCATTTGGCTATTTATGAGTGATGCTGCCATGAACTTTCATTTTGTGCATGCCTCTTAGTGAACATATGTTCTCATTTCTGCTGAGTATATAGTTAGGAGTAGAATTATTGGACCATTTAGTACACATATGTTAAGCTTTATAAGATACTGCCAAGTAGTTTTCCAAACCGGTTGCTGCAATTTGCACTCCCACCAGTAGCAGTATGAGTGTTCTAGTTGTACCACATCTTTGGCAGTGCTTGATATTGTCTTTTTCATTTTGTTTTTTTCATATATGGTTGTAAATTGGTGATTTTAATTTGCATTCCACTGGAAACCCAATGTAGTTAAGTACTTTTCCATTCAACTCTGTTGCTTTGTCTTTTTCATATTGATTTGTGGATCTTATTTATATATTCTGGATATGAGGTTTTTTCCCAGCTATATTTGTTACACATATCTTTTCCCACTCTGTGATCACCTTTTAATTCTCTTGATTATATGTTTCTTAAAGACTAAAATTAGAAACTACTGTTTCTAATTTTAATGTAGACAGCCTACCAATCTTTCCCTATAGAGAAAATGTTAATGTCCTTTGTATCTTCTTTAGGAAATGTCTGCCTACCACAAAGTCATTTTCCCTCTAACTTGTAATGCCATGTATGCCATATGTCAAGTTGTTTTAAATGTATAGTTGGTTTTTAGACTTTTTCTTCAGTCTCACCTACCTGTTTACCTGTTTTCCTGCATCAGTATTATCCTGTGTTAGTAATGCTTTGCATTAGAGTAAATACCTGCAGCTTGTTTAAGGCTAAACAAAGGCCCTACCGTCTTCATAAAAAGATAAAAGAAGTAAATATGCATTTATATTATAAAATCCAAAGTGCGTTGTTGGGTTTTAGGTGCCCAACAAATAGCACAAACACTTCTCTCTACCCAAGTTCCATGTAAAATGCTATGGGGGTATTGATTAGAATTAATGAATTTATAGCTTTCATCCTCTCTTCCCCTATTTATTCTTCCCAGAGGAGAAGAAGAGAATTCTGCTTTATAAATTTGGAAGCAAGAATTGGCACGTGTTGTGCAGCCTTTCCTTTCCCCTTTCCTGGGAGGCAGTTGTCTACCTAAGTACACATTATACCCTGTGCATTAAGTGCTACAGAGTTCCTACCCAATAGAAGTGAGTAGGTTAGTCTTCAATTCTAGAGTTAAGGATTTAGCTTATTGTCGCTGTATATCTAAGCCATGTTTTCTAACAGCTTTATCAATAATAAACTTTTATTTTCCTGATTCTTCTTTCTGTATTTGTTAGGAACTTGGGTAGAGAGAAGCATTTGTGCTATTTATTAGGCACCTAAAACCCAACATGGCACTTTGCATTTTATAAATATAAATGCATATTTACTTCTTTTATCTTTTTATGAAGACTGTAGAGCCCTTGAAGCTATTACTTCAACTTATCATTGTTAAAGTGAGTTCTGTTTATCATTGAAAAGTAACATAACGTAATGGTTAAGAGGAAGGTTTTCTTCTAGTTCTGCCATTTATTACTCATATGGCCTTGGGCGATTGACTTAACTCTCTCTGATTGTGTAAAATTTATTGGTAAAATGGGGATAATAGTACTTACCTCAGAGGAAGTGCAAGTATTGAATAAAGCAGTACACATTAAAATGATTTTAACAATGACTAGTGTCTAGGAAGCTCTCAATAATGGTAGCTGTTATTGTTGCTGTTATTTTCTCAGCATTTAGAATTGTTCCAGGCACACAGTGGACATTCAGTACACACATTAATCCTAGTGGATTAAATTGAATTGAGATGACTAAATTTTCATGGCTCTACTCTGTGTTCACAAACTCTCATTTGGTTTACAATCTCTTATTTTCTGTGTCCTGCTTCCTTTTTGTAGATACCTAGATTTTGTAGAGGTATGGCATTCAAGATCCCAATGACCCACATACTTACTTACTATTTACATTATTGCCATTTCATTACACCTGCATTCTTGTGGGAGGAATGTCATAAAATTATTTGATAAGGAAAGTAAAGATATATCATTGAATCCTCAAATCTCTCAATATAAAAGAGATTATTAGTGGTAGAGAGCCAGAATAAGTGCATTTGGGTTTTTCTTTGTGTTGTTAAACAGAATTTTAGGGCTGGCAGCCTTCATGAGATCAATCAGTACTATCTTAAGGTCACAAAGAGTAAATAAACAACTGACCTATGCCAAGGTTCAGACTTGATCCACCACTCTTTATCACTATTCTGTTATTTGGATAAGGAATGTTCAGCTACCCATCATTAAAAACCTAATGGTGGCTTAAACTAGAAACGATTTATTTTTCTTATATAATTAGCTGGTCGGAGATAGGCCCTTATGGGTTTTTGTTCAGTGGCTCAGTGATATGACAACTCTGGGCTGGCTTCCCTGGATCTTTTTGGCCTTTCTGATGTGGTGGCTTGATGGCTATAGTGGCTGCTGCATCACATCCCTGTCACATTCACAGGCAGGAACTCTTCCCATGCCATGCTCTGATCAGGACAAGAGAAAGTCTTTCCTGGAAGCTTATTTGCACACTGTGTCCCTTAATCCCACTGAATTGCAAGAGGCTAACAGCAAATTCTATGGTGGGAGGGAGGCAAAGGAGAATAGGGTTAGAAATGGCTTTTGGGTAGCCCTGCAACAGTGCCAGTCACAGATGTGCTATTTCTGCTCAATATTTACTTGTATAGCAATTTGATACTGTATTTTCTAACATAAAAGTCATTCATGTATTATGTACTGTATCTCAAGGTGATTTCTTCTGTGCTTGCTACAATTAGCAATCTGAAAAAAAAGAGATTGTACCTTCATCTTTATCTGTTTCAGTCTGTGCTGTTTCAAAATATTAACATAATCTTTTTCTGTGTTTATCATTTACATCAAGTGTAAGTACCTTTCAAAAATTATTGACAAAATGTATTTCTTAACAGGATAAGAACCCATTCTACATTAACTGAAAATGTGCTTTCTCATAAAGTACAATTTGATGGTAGGATCATATCAAGGTAATTGTGATTTTATTAAATTTTTTAATCCCATGATTATAAAAATGTATTTTCTTTTTCAAATAGAAATAATAATAATGAGATAAATTGGTATCATTCACATGAAAAATTAAGTGACTTTAAAGAAACATTTTTATGTAATAGCTACTAATCTATTAGAAAAATATAGGAAACATGAACCTGTAAGAAAAATGTTTTAATTAAAAGTTATTTTAAAAGTGATTTTAAATAAATGTCTTTTAGAAAGATACTTAGAAGTGAATTTTTAAAAGATATATTACTACTAGAAGATTCTAAACTAAAAGTTAATCTTTATATAAACTGCTTTATTTAATTTCATTTGAATGACTGAATAGATTATTGATGGATGCAGCAGATGACAAAGAAAATGATTCTTAAATGTTTTATCTCAGTCTCATAAACTTCTAATCACACATAATGCTACTTGATGTTCTTTGTGTATATGTATTTTTGGCAAAATGTATTTTTAAATTATCATATTTGTTCAGTGATTTTAAACTTTTCTATGATGATAAAAGATAATAAGTATATATCTTTGAGTGCCTTCTCACAAGCTTTTTTGTAAGGTATTCCACTTTATCCTAAAAGTCTGTGTTGAATTAGTAATCTACACTGTAATATATCCATATTCATATCAGTATAAGATAAAGCTTTTTCTCTATCCAAATCTAACTTGGATTGATACTTCAGTGAGCTGTGTCATGTTTTGTCTATAGCTTATTGTAACACTCACTCATTGCCACACACTCCAGGGAGTCATGCTATCCATCTTTGAGATGCACAATTGTCATTTATTATTTAATTTGAAATTTTTCTATTTGAAAAAAATTTAATATTCTATTTTTCTAGAAACGGACGTGATGCTTGTAGAGAGCTGATCGGGTTCTTTTTCACTCATGATCAATCCCTTACAGTTTATGAATATCGACAATTTGGGAAAAATAGGTATGCCATAAAACATTGTTAGAACTCTCAAGATAATTCTAAGAAGATAAATAACTGTGCATGTTTTTTCATTTAACTTCTAGAACAAGTGTGCTCCCTTTTATTCACAAAAACATTTATCATCATCAGTGTGGACGAAGAAAAGGAAAACAGTACCAACTTGGTGATTTTTATGTTGTAAGTTAAGTGTATGTGTGCAAATGTTTAATACCAGGCATTGGATTTTGTGGGGTCCTGGGAAGCTGGAGAGGCAGGGCTTCTAGTCTTCAATTTATTTCTTCTCCTCCTTCCTGACCAGGGACATTTATGTGATGAGTTAATGGTTGATGTTTCCCCAGGAGTTTCTGCCTCCCTGGCTCCAATCTTAATAGTCTGAATCTAAGCATTGCAGTTATTCTCTGTAACATCCCGTACTCCACAATGTGGGTTGTTCCCAGGAAAGCTTGTCTCTTGGTACATTGGAAGGCTTTTCAAAGCTGTATTAGTGGGTAAGTGGCTACCTTAGTAGCACCAGGAGTGCTACTAGTAGCACCTCCACCTAAAGCAGGTTCATCCTTTGAGGATACAGTTTCCTCCATATGGAGAGGTATTGGCTTCTAGAACTGTCATATATCTATCCTCCTTGTGATTTTCCCACTTTGGGAAATTCCTGGCATATAGTATGTCACGATTCCCTATAATGAGTGGATTGTGGATAATGTTATATTTTGTCTAGTGGTCTTACATTTTAAATCATATTCACATATTATATCATGATTAAAATGCATCACTATCTACCGTGACCATTCAAGTAACAAATATATGTTCATATGCTAAGCACTAGGGATAGAACAGTAAGTTAGACCCATTTCCTGCTTGCAGTCTAATTGGAAGCACAGATAGATGAGCCAGAAAGGAGGGGCAATGATCTAGTTTTGTGAAGTGATAAGAGGCTTCCTGGAGAAAGTGTCATCTAACCTTGACTAGGAATTAGCTAGGCTGGGATAGGGAGATAAGTGAGGATGGGTAGAGGCTTCCACATGGAGGAGACAGCTCATGCGGAGAATGAAAGCAAGAAATCACATGGCTTATATGGAGAACTGGAACTATTTCAGTCTGGTTGGAGGATCCAAGTTCAAGGTGGGGGTGGGGCAAGATATGAGTTGGAACTTGTTAAAAGCAGCCTATATTAAAGAATTGGCTAAAGTATATTGGGAAGTAATCGCTTTGCTCTTGTAAACTTGTCTTTTGTTGTAGGGATGTTGGCTGTGAGCCTGATGATGGGGAGGAAAGGGATCATCCCCTTTTCACTCCTACACATACATGTTTTTGAGATAAACAATTAGTCCTCAAGTAAGAGGGCTTGACAGCCCCATTTGTCACACATAGTTCATCCTTGATTCACCTGGTAATTGGAGTGATTTTCTGTGTTAGCTAATAGGCTTTATCCAGAGGAGAAACAAACTCTTCACATCTTTGTGACAGGAGGTGGTTTTGCGCTTGGAGCAAAGTGCCTAAATTAGGCTCCTAGCCTCTCATAGAAACTGGGAGATAGGGGCGCTATCTCCCTTGAGTTTTGCATTTCAAAGAGTGGCTCACAGGTCCTACAGAAAGACCTTTCTGAGTCATAAAGCAAACAATAGGCCTATCTAATTTTTGAAAGAATTTATATACATTTCAAAGGAAGGAGAAAGTACTTACATTATAACTTCAAATTTTCTAAGAAACAAGAGGAGAGGGAAATCTATTCTGTTATAATCAACGGGAAGAATTATGCTCTATTTTGAATTTGTATTTGTCCTTACACTGGTGATGTTTATTTGAGCAACTCAGAAATTAAAATAAGAATTTTCTAACTTTGGATTAAGAATTTTTCTTAGGATTAAGCAGATCTGTAATTCCAGCTTCTTGGGAGACTGACGTAGGAGGATCGTTTCAGCCTAGGAGTTTGAGGTTGCAGTGAGCTATGATCATGCCATTGCGTCCATGGGGAACAGAGCAAGATCTGTCTCTTAAAAAAAAAAATGGTAGAAATTTTCTTGGTGAAGCTTTCATGTGTTAAAGCATCAAAATAAAAAATAGAATTAGGTTTTATAGTTATGCAATGTCTGTCATCAAAGAACTAGGTAAAAGACTGTGATGACTCTCAAAGTTCAATTTGTGATGCATCTTTCTGTGGGCCAATAGCTCTATTTTTGTATGTAAGGATATTGTAATTTCGATTGAACTAATTTGATCTTTCTTCCTCTGATTCTTATAAAAATATCTGAGTTTCTCAGATTGATTTTTTTGTTCACATAGATTATTAAATAGAATACTGTTCTAATTGAGAGATTGATTGTGAGATTAGTTGTTTTATTTTTCTATAGTATTAGGTAGTTGAAGCCTGGGTAGTTTCTAAGTATTTTACAAATATATACCTTTTAAAAAATTATTAAAGTATATCATGTCACATGTAATCAAAATCAAATATTTTAAATCAGTTTTGATTGTATTTTACTTCTTATATACTTTTTATTAATAGCTTTAAATAAGTCATCTGTTCATTTCCTTAGGGTGCAACCTTGACATTTTTGAATTCTGATCATCCCCGCCTTCCAGAAAGCATAAAAGAAAATACATTACTTATACTCCGAATCACAAATATTGATCAAATAGCTTTGGATTCTCTCAAGTAAGTCAAATGTACATTTGTCATTTTGAAAGTAAGTGAAAGACTATTTTTTTTATTGTCTTAAAATGAGATTCTATTACAAAGCATTTGGCCTTTAGTTAAGGTTTATATTTTTAAAAAATAAAGCATAGCTATATGTGTTTATTTTATGCAATGTATTATATTTAAATATACTCCATGTGTGGGAACAGTTACAATCAGTTAAAGATTTAAAAATCCCATTTTATGTTAAAGATACCTTATTAATTTGCCTTTGCTTTAAGACTTTTATTTTACTAAATGCTACCAAAGTAATAAGTTTTAAAAGATGGGATATTGGTACAATATTACAACAATTTTCCCCACATTGTTATTACGATGCTTTTTTAGCATTAAAAAAAATTCTTGGGTCCCATATGCTTATAGTATTCATTGATTGATAAAATGCATAGTGAAAAAATACTGCTATGAATAAAAAATGCTTTTAAATGAATTTTTTAGTCATAGGAATATATATGTATGTATATTTGTAATATTATATATTAATATATAGAGAGACCATATCCCATAAATTGGCTATAAGGAAGTCTGTGTTTCTTTGTCATTTACTGTAATGCTAAAAGTGAATGCATTTGGCAGGTGGGGGTTGGGAGGGCTTTTTAAAATAACATTTTTACATTTTATACCTTTGCAAGGTAAAACTGCTTTTAAATTTAATAGTTGAGTTAAGTCTTTAAAGGAACATTGAAATAGCCTCAAAAATGAGTATGTTCACAGGTAGTTCTTGGAACATTTTAAGGATTTCAGCTCTTGATTTGATCTTTTGGGGCATCAAAGCAGCAGGCAAAATCGGGACTTGATTAAATGCTAAGCATTCTTCCAAGTTTGAGGGTTTTTTTGAGTCTGCAGCAAGGAAAAGCTTAGAGTTTCGATACTCAAAATTGTAATATTGAACATATTTTTATCATTGTGAACATGTCAATGGCAGAACTGCTTCTGTAGAACATGAAGATGATATAATCACTCAAGAAGCCAATGACAGGCTGGTCATCAGGGCCATTCAAGGTATGTGTCATTACTATGCTCTCAAGCAGTTTGAACTTTCAACCTTTTTTGTTTGTACTCAGTAAAATGGTATTTTCCAGATATTTCTCAGTGGCACTTTCTATTTGCCTATTTTACAAATATATTTTTAGAAAATATTTCTGTATTTAAAATATTTTATTTATTTATTGGAAATATTTTAGGATTACTCCTGCTTTAATTGTCCTAACTGAATAATTAGTATTATGTGAATTGTAAGTTTACTAATTTTAGACATTACTAGGTAATACAGGTTTTACTCATGAACTGAATAAAATGTAAAAGGGATTTTTGTAACATAATACTTGTCTGGCATATTAGATGGTATCCTAAAGAGATTTGTGGTGGCCTGGTATAAAAGAAAAAAAATGCTAGACTGGAGCCAGATTTATCTTTGGACTCTGCTGTTCAATAGATGTAAGACTTAGGTGAAATCCCTCATATGTCTTTCTTTACCTCTAAAATGGGGGTAATATACCTCTCTAATTAACTTTCCAGGGTTGTTGTAGGTATTAATAATAAATAAGATATATGTCAGCTCTGGATGCTAAAACATTTTACAAATTTTGTTTCTAGAGTCCAATTTTATAGCCATTGCAGTATACTAGGCTCTGATTCCTTTGTTGGATCTCCTAGTCTAGAAGGGAGAAAGGTATTTCTTGTGTATTACTTGTGTGATAAGTAATAACAGTAATTAACATATAATTTCTGAATTTTTGTGAATCCTGATTTATAAAGATAAGGGAAGTCCTAGTAAGAAGGCAAGAAACAGATTTGAAAGTTGTCTGAGATTGGTATTTGAACTCTCAAATATTCTTGATGCCATTGTTAGTAAATAGTTTTCTCTATTCCATCATGGTTAATTATTAAAGGTAGTGACATTTGTTCTTTTCTCTAATGTATTATATCCAATAACTGCTTTAGTAAGTTTACTAATATTTTCTTAAGTAAATATGGAAAAAATTGCATTAAGTGAAATAACTGAGCTAGAAGGAGATTGCCAGGCACCTAAGAAAGTAACCTCTTAGGAATTTCTGGAAGGAGGGGCTACCTTAAACATATAAGTATAGGACAGTGTTCCAAAGCCTTGATGCTACTTAACATACAACTTACAATTTGAAGATTTCAAACTGTTTAAAAAATGTTGAACAGATTAATTTTTGAGCGACTTGCCTGGCATCAATTTTGTAGTTCAGTTGATAAACAACAAAGACAAGGAAAAAGGATTAAAGATGTGGGTGTGGTTAGATAAAGAAATCAGATAATAAAAACCAAGGTCTTATTTGTAACATTTAGGTTATTTTCTTGCTGATAAAGTCAAACATTATTTTCCTGTATTTAAAATACAACACTCTCACCACACAGTGGTGCTATAGTTCTGGCATATTTGCATGTGATTTTATATTTAATCCTCTTTATTAAAACTATTCTGTTTTTCAAAACCTTTTGTCAGTCATACACAAGGTTGGTTGAATATTCACATGCCTTATTTCAGTTACATCAACTTTAATTTTCTTACAAGGCAGATAACTGTAGTTTGATGCATTCACGCATAGAACAGTTAGTTTTCATTTGGCTTTTTGTTGAATAGATGTGCTAAAAGAAAAACTACATAAAAGAAGTGTTCGTATTTTGACTGGATTGGGAAGATATTTTCAACAATTGGACAAGGAAGGAAATGGACTTTTAGATAAGGCAGATTTTAAGCAAGCTCTAAAAGTATTTCAGTTACAAGTGTCTGAAAAGGTATGTACCATAGAAAATTCTCTGTAGCAAATAAGATATAATTTTTGGGTGGCATTATTCACTTTTTAACTGAAATTTCAGTAGTTCGTTTGTTTTATCTTTTATACCCTATTATCACTGTTAAACCATCAGGCAATAAGTTCTGTTGATTTTTAAAATTTCAATATTCCTCTATCACATAGTTATTAAGAGCCTAATAGCCAGGTGTTGTGCTAAGCTTTGAGACAGCATGCTCTGTACTCTGAAGATCTTCATAATTGAAGGAGAATGAAAATAAAACAAAATATATGTGAAATAGAGAATGTTTTTTGAACACATGGGATGGGTAACTAATTCCAAACCAGGTTATGGGGAAGGAGAGGGAAGATCATGGAAGGATTCCTGGAGGAGATACAATCAAGCTGAGTTTTGAAGAATGAGGAGGAATTAACCAGACAAGAGACAAGGAGGAGAGTGGGTCAGACAGTGAGTATTTCCTTAAAAGGAGAAGCATATGTTAAGGCTTGAATTAAAAAGGGGAGTGCGGCCTGTTCCCCAAACTGCAAATGGTTAATCTTCACACATACTGTTCCCTCTGCCGTGAGTAATCTTTCACTAGGTCTTCGTGAGTAATCTTTCACTAGGTCTTCGCATGCTGGATTTTCTCAACATTCAGCCCACAGCTTTCTCTTCCAAGAGCACTACCCTGACACTGTGTCTAAAGGAACACCCCCAGCTGATCCCTGGTCCTTTCTGTACCAACTTCCTGTTTCATATTTTTCATGCCACTTTGTACATTTGTCTGGCTCTGCCTGTAAGTAGAATGTAAGTCCCATCTGGGCAGGGACCAATCAGGGTGCTTCTGGCTTCCTGCTCTTTTTCTAGCACCTCAAATAGAACCTGACATGTGGCAAGTGCTAAATAAATAGACAATGCATTATTTTGAATAAATAGATGTATGGAAGGAAGGAAAAGAGAAGAGGAGAGAAATAAGTCTGGTACAGTAAAGTCTTGCAGGCCACACTAAGAAGTTTGTATTTTATTCTAAAGGTATGTGAACTTGAAACTCATTTCCCTCAAGGATTTCAGATACAGGGCTCTCTTGTGTCGCGCCCGCCTCGCCAGCAAGGAAGACGCGGCAACTGGAGTTCTTCTGACAGTGCTTTAATGGGGTTCCCTTTAGGCTTACATGATGCGGAAGACCCAGCCCGGCAGCATGCAGGCTGCTATATACCCTAGAAGCACAACCCCTAAGCTGGGATAGGCCACTCAGCTGTCGAGCCGCCAAAGCATTGGTCCATAGTAGGATCCTTCATTTGCATGCTTGCGCCACAGGGTAACCGACAATTGCGCGTGCGCTGAACTTGTTTACTGCTCTAGGCAAAGCCGGAAACAGGCGCCATCTTGTAATGGCAGTGACACCGCGCCCCACACTCTTGCATTGTTTTCTTTTGCTTCCAATGGTTTTTGACATAGATGTAATGTATTAATATTTTGTGGAGGGAACATTGGAAATTGAATTTATGAGATTTAGGTTCATGTTCTAGCTAGCTTACTGCTTGAACTATGTGATCTTGGACAAGTATCTTTACTTCACTGATTGACAGGCTTTGCCTGAGCAATTCAGAAATAACTGCTATAGTCAGAGTTGCTTGGAGGCTCAAATGAAAAAATTACATGGGAATATGCCTTATCAACTGTAAAATTCTGTGCCAGTATGATGTTGTCTAATATTATTCTGACATACCTGTCTTTTGGTTTTTTTATGATGTTTAATCTTGTGGCCCACCTACTGATACACACCAGGGATCGCCTAACTTCACCTCTTCCTTTCATAGATTAAAAAAATTAAACACCAGTAGGAAATTAGAGAGCTGTGGCATCTTTGTTCACAGTCATACAGGTGTGAATGGAAAAAATACACAAACTGTGTTTTTCCTCTTCTTTCACAGCACAACAATCAACACAGAATACTTCTGTGACCAAAGGTGTGTGTGGGTTTCCTCACACACCAAGCAGCAAACACTAGCTGTGTGTTCTGTAATCCAGTTCAACCCTGACGCTGTCTACCTGGAAATGGCCTCAGATCCCACAGGTTGAGGGCTCAGTCCCACAACACTGCACTCTCCCTTCCCCCAGATACCAGTTGCAAGTCTGGGCCTTCAGAACTTCTGACCGACCAGCTTCAAGTTGAGGTTCCCACGACCTCCTCTCTGAGTTTGACTGATTTGCTAGAGCAGCTCACAGAACTCAGGGAAACTTATGTCTAATGGTTTATTATAAAGAGTATTACCAAAAATACAGATGAAGAGATACATAGGGCAAGGTATGGAGAAGAGGCGTGGAGCTTCCATGCCCACCCTGGGTGTACCACCCTCCAGGAACCTCCGCTGTTCAGCTATTCAGAAGCTCTCTGAACCCTGTCCTCTTGGGCCTTTTATGGAGACTTCATGGGATAGGCATGATTAACAACCATGTAGGAATGTGATTAGACAAAAACAATATGATCTCATACTAACAGACTGAGTGGGGAAACTCAGCAAGGCCTGTCCAGATTTTTCTTGGCCTCCCTGTGCAGCATTCCTTCCTCCAGGATATAGGGCAGGACACCTTCCAAAATGAGAGTCTTAATGGCCTACAATCAGACAAATAGGTCAGAGAATTTCTTTATTTATGGTCGGCTCCAAGACAGAAAAATGAGGGAAGATTCCTGCCTTGGGAAGAGAAAGGAGCAGGTGAAAGGAAGGCATCAGAAGGTCAGAGAGAGAGCTTCTATTTTCTGAGGCCTGCTTCTGAGGCCTATGGTGCCCCAACATTATAACAAGACTGTGACGAGGGCTGCAGGAATTATGAACCAGGAACCACGGATAAACACACCCACACACACATATGTATTAAATCTCATAATATCACACACAAGTAATTAATAACTGATACAGAACTAGAATCCAGATAATATGGCTCCATCCAGCACTTTTTCTGCATTACCACAATACCCTTTTTGATTGGCTTGCTAAATTTTTATGATTGGATTTGGGAATAAAAGTACAATAATTATATAAGAATTCCAACAGAGGGTGAACATAGATTATGAAAATATAAGTAAGCTTGCCCTTTTTCTCATATATTTTAAATAATATTCTCTGTTTTTTTTCTGTAATATCACTGGAAACTGCTCATGCAATGATGAGAATATATTATACAAAGGGGTCAAGAATAAGAACATAAAAATTACTAACCTGGGTCTAATTTTGTAACTAGAGAATGTTTGAGGGAAGGCATATTCGTTATCCCTGATTTGAAGTAAAAAAATGATATACACCCTAAATAGACTAATTTATGTGGAGATACTATCAATGAATTTACCTCAGCTTTTTTTCAACTGAATTATTTTCCATTCTGTACCATGACGTAGCAAGAAAGAGTTACATAAATTTGTTGCTAATTGTGTTAAACATCTTAAGTCTTGAAAATAACTTATTTTAAGCATCAAGAAGTATCTTTTAATTCTAGTGTTCCATGACTTGGGGGAGCAAATCTGTCTTCTCTGGTCTCTATTACTCATGATTTTAAAGGTCAAATTCATCTTTAATTCAACTGCATAGACACTTAAAGTCTTGCATAATATACAGGGCATTATGATAGACCAAAAAAAGAAAAATGCATGGATTGTTGAGATTTGAGGGAAGGGAGGGCAACTGGAGATTTAGTTCTTCTAATTAAAGTTTTATTTGAAAAAATTAGAGGGAAGTGGAAGAGAATATTTTTTGAGTACTTATTATTTTCTAAGCACCTTACTAGGTGTTTTATTTACAGTCTCATTTAAAGCTAACAGCTTGATTGAAACATTGAAAATACATTTACCTGAGTTGGAGAAAATGCATGCTGTAATTTATTTGTTGTCAGGAACAATGTGAACAGCACTTTCTATCAAATAGTGCATTTGCCAAAGGCATAAATGATAACGGTGAAGTGAACAAACTGGTATAAAGGATATATTCAAAATTACACTTTTCAGTGTAACTTATGGAGTGATATTAGAGTCATTCAAATCTATACTTTCAAGCATGAACCTAGCAAAAATACAATTAGTAGTTATAATGCTATTGGAGGCATTCCAGAATTTGAAATGACTTTTGAATTAATCACAGATCTAACACATTAAAAATAATTGAATATTCAAAACTGAGTAACTGATAACTATATATTTTGTATAGAAAGAAATACCATATTTTTTTGTATAGAAAGAAATTGAACTCAAAATGATAAATTATGTTACCGGAGTGTGGCGGGGGTGGGGGGCAGGGGGGAGATACAGAGAAAGGAGAGAAATTGGTCCAAGGGTACAAAGTTTCAGCTAGACAGTGGAGTAAGTTCTGGTGGTCTATTGCACAATATGGTGATTGTAGTTAACAATAATATTTTGTATATTTCAAAATGGCTATTAAAAAAGTGATTTTAAATGTTCTCATCACAAAGAAATGATTAATATTTAAGGTGATGGATATGTTAATTTGCCTGATTTGATCATCCCACAATGTATACATGTATTAAAACATTACATCGTACCTCGTAAATATATACAATTATCATTTGTCAATCAAAAATAAAACAAAACTTTAAGAAAGATAAATTTGTGAGCTATTGTCCCTCCTAAATGGCTCCTAATTTTAAAGAACTGTTCACAAAGTTCTCTTAAAATAGCTTTCTTGGCGGCTTTGATTGGATTTATATGTTACATTTTGAATTTTTTTATTAAATGAGCTATCTTATCTAGGGTTACAAAAGATGTAACAAAATACAACTATGATGATTTTATTGTGACCATATATGACTTAAAAATGTAACAGTGATCTCTGATTATTTCTAGGATTTTGAGTCTTTATGGCTAATTCTGAATGCCAATGGTAATGGCAATGGCAAAGTTGATTACAGAGAATTCAAACGTGCCATTTTTGGTGAAATGAATGAATATAGGAAATCATTTGTTCGAAAGGTAACTCTGTTAAGTAATCTTTGAAAGTGTTACTTTTAATAGATTTTTAGGTTTATTATTTTAAAACTATAATGAATTACCATTTAAAATGTTTTAAATCTATTTTATTTACCTGTAATGTATGTTGGGTTTAGTAAAACACAAAGCAAACAAGCACATACTCATATAGATATACCCAGAATAAAGCAAAATAACTTATGCATATGTTTTAGAAAAATATTATAAAATGAAAATAAAATTTGAAATCGAATCTTGGTTAATAAATTACTAGCTCCATATAGTGCTGCTTCCATAAATTAGTAGCTACATGGCTATATGCATTATAAAATATCTCTGAGCTTCAGTTTCCTATCTCATATAGTTAGGATTAAAAGAGTTAATAAATATAAAATTCTTAGTGTTAGTGCTCAATATATTTTATTTTAGAATCAACATTAAAAAATGTTTCTCTGGTTTTTATCATATGCATGCTAAATATTAACATGAAGATTAAAATGATCATGTTAGATTAGAATTAAAAACAGGAGCCTTGATTGTTGTAGGAAACTACAAGTTACTAGGGTTCTGGTAGCCATTTTTAGAGTATGGTTTTGAGCAATGTAGTTCTCCTTTTTTTTTTTTGCATATGTACATAATGTAAAATGTATATGCAACTAATGTTGAAACACAGCTATTCTGTGTAGAATAGTATAAACAATTATATCAAGTATAAATCTCAAATAGAAAATGAAAATCTCTACTTTTACTGGCCAAGAGATACTACAAAAACCTTAAATTAAACAAAATTGGCACATAATGTTTATAAATGTTTAAAATTTGTACTTATTTGTAATTTACATGTCCTGCTGATTGGTCATAATAGAAACTGGAGGCTTGTCTGTTTCATAAATGTTGGTATAGAGAATAAATCTTGGTAAAGGAAGAGTTATAAAGGGCTGTATTCATTTGCTTGGGCTACCATACCAAAATCCCAGAGACTGGGTGGCTGAAACACAGAAATTTATTTTTTTTTATAGTTCTAAAGGCTAGAAGTCCAAATACAAGGTGTCAGCAGGTTTGGTTTCTTCTGAAGCCTCTCTCCTTGTCTTGCATATGGCCACCTCTTCACTGGTTCTCACATCGTCCTCCCTTTGTACGTGTTGTTTGTGTCCCACTCTCCTCTTATGAGGACACCAGTCATATTGGATTGGGGCCCACCCTAATGATTCCATTTTGACTTAATTACCTCTTTAATGGCCCATTTTCCAAATAGTGTTATATTCTGAGGTAGTAGGAATTAAGATTCAACATATGACTTTTGGGAGAACACAATTAATTCTACAACAGGTACCATATTTCTGTGAACTCAATGTTGTGAATAAACAAACTTGATTCTAGTTTTGACTCTTCTGCAAGTATGGGATATTGCTTTGGGTAGCTTGTATATTTCTATGTACCCAATCTTCTTCCTGGAAGGAGGTTTTGGGTGCAGCTGAGCACCCTAGTGACTGTGTGGGTGCAGCTGAGCGCCCTGGTGACTGTGTACCAACGAGAGGTGCGAAAAGCCAGTGAGAGGTGCGAAAGGTGCAGTCTGAGCAGACAGGAAACCGCAACCGCAGACTATCTCTCACCTTTGCAGCTTACACAAGGACGTTGCTTTCTATTTGGGGAAGGGGGGCTACTTCAGTACTTGGGGCTTAGGGAGGGCTTGGGGAGCATATATAAGCCTGAGGTTGCCTAGCCTCGGGGCCCCCTCTCACATCTCTGGGTCCGCCATCACCCAGACTCCAGAGTGTGGATCCACAATAAAGCTGTGCATCTTGACCCGGAGCTATATTTGTGTGCCGAGTCTTCTTGCCCTGGGAAAGGCAACGCAAGTTGGCCCTTCCACTTCCCAGTGAAATAATTTGTGATATCAGACTTGCACTGAATTACAGGAGTAAAACAACTAGCATTTCAAAAGGTAGTGTTAAATTTCAAGAAACAGAGCAACAAAACTCATTTAAAATATATTTCACTTTCTCATTAATTTTAGTAATGAAACATTTTCAAGCTCATTTTTTGAGTTAAATAGTCCACCTGGCAATTTGTTATGGCTGTTTATAAGTTTCATGTAAATCCTAGACCTGGAAGTTACTCAAGAGGTCTTTTACCCAACTCTTCAGTTTGCATTGGACAGCCAGGGAAACAGAGGTTGAGTTGCTCTCTTAAGGTCAGGATGCTAGAAAGTGGTAGAACTTTCTAATTGACTACAAGTTTCCTAATATCTTGCTTCAGTATCTTTTCTGTTGTATTTATTATGCTTCTTTCATATACTATTAGGTTGATGCAAAAGTAATGCGGTTTTAGTCTTGTTGAAATGTGCTGTTTGATATTGGAATACATTTTTTAAAAAATGTTATGTCACACATCATTTTAATGTGCATCTCTTGCTTTATGTTTTTTTGCTCATGACATATTACTTGCCGTTTATTTTATATTTATTTTTAGACTATGGAAATGATGTTAAACAAAAAGCAAATTTGAGTGATTTTCTTTTAGGGGTCGTAAAGCAGCAGAGATAACTCATAACATCAGCAATGCATTTAGCCCAGGTGTTGCTAACGAAGGTACAGTGCAGTGGTGGTTCAAGAAGTTTTGCAAAGGAGATGAGAGCCTTGAAGATGAGGAGTGCAGTGGCCGGCCATCAGAAGTTGACAACAACCAATTGAGAGCAACTGTCAGAGCTGATCCTCTTACAACTACACGAAAATTTGCCAAAGAACTCAAGGTCACCATTTTATGGTCGTTGGACACTTGAAGTAAATTGGAAAGGTGAAAAAAGCTCGATAAGTGGGTTCCTCATGAGCTGACAGAAAATAAAAAGCAAATCGTTGTTTTGAAGTATCGTCTTTTATTGTAACAACAACAACGAACCATTTCTCTATTGGATGTGCGAGAAAAAGTGGATTTTGTACGAGACTACTGGCGACAACCGACTCAGTGGTTGGACCAAGAAGCTCCAAAGCACTTCCAAAGCCAAACTTGAACCAAAAAAAGTCATAGTCATTGGTGGTCTGCTGCTGGTCTGATCCACTACAGCTTTCTGAACCCCGGCGAAACTATTACACCTGAGAAATATGCTCAGCAAATCCATATGATGCGCTGAAAATTGCAATGCCTACAGCCAGCATTGGTCAACAGAAAGGGTCCAATTCTTCTCCACAACAACGCCTGACTGCATGTCACAAAACCAACACTCCAAAGTTGAATGAATTGGGCTATGAAGTTTTGCTTCGTCTGCCATATTCCCCTGACCTCTGGCCAACTGACTACCACTTTTTCAAGCATCTGACAACTCTTTGCAGTGAAAATGCTTCCACAACCAGCAGGATACAGAAAATGCTTTCCAAGAGTTTGTGGAATCCCGAAGCACAGATTTTTATGCTACAAGAATAAACAAACTTATTTCTCATTGGCAAAAATGTGTTGATTGTAATAGTTCCTATTTTGATTAATAAAGATGTGTTTGAGCCTGGTTATAATGATTTAAAATTCATGGTCTGAAACCACAATTACTTTTGCACCAACCTAATAGTTTGGTGCAACTAAACTTTTCAACTGTTTTGTTCATAGCTCAGAAATAGCCTACCGCAAAATAGAAAATTGGTTCTCATGTCTAATGATTTTGTTAAAATATATAAAATTTCGCTCTTTATTTAGGCCTTTATGAAACTAGATTGCAACAGAACTGGACGTGTGCCTATTATAGACATAAGAAAATGTTATTGTGCAAAGAAGCATTCTCAAGTAATTTCAGGTAATTATTATGAGTCAAAATACATTGGATTTCTAAAATGTTAGTTAATAAAAGTAATATCTTTAAATAATATTAACTTAAAGCATAGACTGAAGCCATTAGGAAGGAAATAAACAATTTTTGTAAACCAGAAACTTGACAGCTATTTGTCCTTCTTCATTTAAAAATTCTTGGGTTTATTGTCTGTACTTATGTGTCTCTTTGATATTTATAATCGATATAGAACTCTTATTTTCTGCTTAGGAGATCCTGAGGAATTTAAGTTAAAAAAATTTAGAGAACAGGTAATTATGTGTGCAGGTTCTCAGACTTAGTTTTACTATATTTGCTTATACAGTTATTTATACTTGAGTATTTAAGGTAGAATGAGGGAGTGTATTTCTCTGTGGATGGAAGAATACATACAATGACCATTTTCCATCAAAATTTGAGGTTATAGTAAATTTCTCAAAGTTATCCTAGAGATTCATTTCCTACTATATTTCTTCTAACTGTATTTTTACATAATTGATTTATAAATGCATTCTTATTATAAAGAAAACATTTGATCACCACAACTCCTCTTTCATTCCATTCCCTTCATAAAAGTAAAAATTATCTTTTAACATATATATTTCAATCCTTGAAAGGACTGACATGAAAGGTGCACTAAACATTGTTATGTAGTTTGCGTTTTATACTCAATGATGTGATTTGGGGCTCTTTCCATGTTAATCCACATTGAGTCCACCTTATTTTTATCTGCTACATATTATTCTTTTTATAAATAAATATACTACAATTTAGCTAGCCATTCTTGTATTGGCAGGCTTTTAATTTCTGATTATTGGTATATAATCAACAAAGCAGCATATGCTTATTTGTGACTCCCTAGGTCTGTTTTCTACTGTTTCCCTGGGGTGATATTAATACCTAAGAATGAATTGCTTACTTGGGAATAGTAAGTAAAATTAGTAAGTAAAATGGTAAATAAAAAATCTACATTTAAAATTTAAAATGCACATTTCCTCGGGCTAGGGGCTGCATGGTGGGGACGGCGACATGGGATGGCACTTACATACGGCACTACAGCCCTGGCCCTAGGAAACCCACATTTTAAATTTTCAATGCTATTCCCAAATTACATTGTAAAATGGCTATACTAAATAGCACTTCCATTCTTTGGAGAATTCCTCCACAATTTTGTGAACAATTTGGCTTTTGCTCATGTGATAGGTTAAAAAGAAGCCATTTTATTTGCATTTTCCTGGCTACTAGGGAGGTTAAACATATTTTCATATAATTATTGATCATTTTTTCATCTTTTTATGAGTATTTATGACCACATTTTGTGAATGGTTTCTTTTCAATTTATGATTTTAATTATATACTATTAAATAGCATAAAATATTATTACTGCAGAAGTTTATTTCTTAATATTAAAAGAAGAAACCCTGTAATTATTTTGGTTTCTTATCATCATTAACCCTTGTATATCGTTTATTTTTTGTCATTTATTTATTTGTTCATTGGCATCTGTCTGAGCATGGAGGTTTACTTATTATTTTTAATTGTGAAGTGAAAGAAAAACAATAGATTTGGTTATGAAGGTTAGAGCTAATCATCACTGGCTTCCCAATTTCTAACTATTTATTTCAAATCAAAATATTTTACTTTGCTTATTAAGGACTTTAAATTAAAACAGTTACCATAAGAGAATTTTTAGTGTTATTCAGTTGTCTTTGGTATATTTTTTCCCTTTAAACACATCATCCTCTTTGCTTCTTTCTCTTTAATTGGTCATGCTAAATATAAGAACAAAGTAACTAAATAGTTTACTCATTTCAAAATTAGGTGATTTCAACATGGTGTATTTTTTCTTTTTGTCTTTTCTCATCTAATAATTAGGTTGCTTAAGTAGCTTTAGTTTATTATGTGTCATTAAATTTTTGATTAGGATTTTGTTTTTGTTGTTGGATAAGCCTTGTTAGCTTCAGAAATTCCATAATTTGTCTTTGTATTCACATTAGGGACAACAATCTGGCAAGCTAAATAATCTTAAAAGAGGAAAACCTGTTACTGTATTTAGAAAAAGAAAAAAAAACTATTATTATTTATTTTTACATTATAATCTGTTCATATGCCCATCTCTAGGATATAGGTTGTTTATAATTTATAATTAATTTCAAGTTAAGACTTTTATACTATATATAATTTAATTTTAGCTATAGAGGATATTCACTTTTTGATATATTAAATCATTCATTAGGATAAAGTATTTTAAGGTTTCATAGAAATGGGATACCCCAAATATATTTCTGTGAAATAGTATTAGAAATATAATGTTTATTGTTGTAAATATTTTCTGGTCTTTAAGAGGAACAAAAGAAATTTAGTTACAAATGATGGAAGGTAGGTGTTTCCTGGGTATGTATTTTTTGGGGTGTGGAAAGTATTCAAAGGAAGTATGGAATTCTTGACTATTTGAAATATAAATTTAAATAAGAAATGCTTTTCTTAGAAAAAGTGTGTTAAAACTCTTGTGTTCCAAGGTATAGATGGTATACAGAGAGAGAAATTTCTCCTGACAAAATTTACGTTTTTATATACATTAAATCTTGATTAATATGTAGACTTGACTAACAATTACAAATTCATTTTATTGTTTTATATTAACATTTAAACATAGCACAATTATTTAGTCCTTTTTCATTAACATGTTTTTCATTGAACACTTTGTCCTCTACTTCTCATGTTTTTAAAAGACAGCAAACTTCTTGATACCTAAAGTAGATTTCATTCCTGTAGTTTGAAAGGCAGTTTACAATGCATTATTATCTAAGTCTACTAGAAAATCTCTGGTTTGTGAAAAAAAAAAATCAAACTCTCACTCTAATTTTGTCCACTCCATTAGACAAAGATTTGAATGGTATTCCCATTGAAGCCTGTTATTTAAAATGAAAGTTAACTTTAAAATGTTTCAGAGGGTCACATAGGTTTTCTGATCCTTTTTCTACTATTATATAGCCTCTCTTTATTCTCTTTTGAGTATTAGCTGACCAACTTTAGCCTCCTTTCATCTTTAATTTCTCTCATTAAAAAATTTATGATTTAAAAAAATGAGTTCTATGCTAGAATCCTGGGGATGGATCAGTGTAAGAGAGAGAGGGAGGGGCAGGGAAGGAGTGGCAAATTAATGAGATGAATTAATTCTAGTTAATGTTTAAATAAGTTGGAGAGTAGTTTGACATAAGATTTCAAACTGTTGAAAAGATTTCATTAGACTGTTCTTTTATTATCATCAGTCATTTTATTGAACTTTTAAGAAAACTGTTTCATAGTGCTATTTTACAGGCCATTCCACAGAGGAAGAAATCAAATCATCATTTCTAGAAACATTAAAAGATACCTGCAGCAAGTCTGATGAAGTGTCATATGGCGAATTTGAAGATTACTATGAAGGTTTAAGTATTGGGATAGCAGATGATGAAGATTTTGTTAACATCTTACGTACTCCGTGGGGAATTTAGTTTTAAATGATGAATATGTTATCAGCACTAAGCATTTTACTGGAGAAATGAATTGAATGTAAAGTATGATAAAACACTGGAGAATATAGTTTTCTAGTACTCCCTTTATTCTGTTTTTTTCTCAAAAAATTTGAGTCCAGAATGAGAAATATTCAGAAAGATAGATATAGGAGTATGTGTGTATGTGCGTGTGTGTTTGTGCATGTGTATGCATGCTCACATGTCTATAAATTTATAAAGTTATGTCTCCTTTGTTTATTACTTATCGTGAATATATTTTAGAGGGTTTTTTTTTATTAGCCTCAATAGAAAAGTTACATCTGCATCAAACCATACGAGAACATCTACAGAGTAATCAAGTTTCTTGTCCTTTTACTTTTTTTTTTTTTTTTTTTTGCTACCTCTTCCTCAGAATATTTGTCACCATTCTTAATGTCATGAGCTGGAACTGGCCCAAAGCCAATGAGACTGAAATAGGTCAACATGTTTTAAACATATGAAAATGTTAAAGGAATTAAAGGATATGCAAAAGATATTTTTCAAGCAATGCAATCATAGATGTTTTTTGTATTCCAAATATTTAGAATGATGAGGATAAACCATGTAATGCCCATTTAAACACTGGCTTGTCTTATAAATTTTTGTCTTCTAAATTATATACTATTGTTTGTTCAACAGAGCACAATGTAGTTATTCTAGTAACTAGTTATGGTCTTTCTTTTATATTTTGGTCTTTCTTTATATATGGTCTTTCTTTATATTTAATTTAACTTTTATTGTATATTTAGATCTAAGGGATAATTTAGCAATTCTTACCCTAAATGGAAAAGCATATTTTGTGTCCAAAAATGAACGTATGATATTCTAACCATCTCTTTTTGGAATAGCAAACAACTAAATTATATCTTTCTAAATATATATTATTTAATGTTTAGATGCATTGTATTATAATCATTCTTTCTAAATTCTCTATTCCTTACTTCTCCCTGGGAATATAGAGAGAAGAGATAACTTTATGAGTCGTTTACAAACTCATACTTTTAATTTTTATATCTTAATATAACATAAATTAGAAAAAAATAAGTGGTTCAAAACTGAAAATACATACTTTGTAGAATATCACTTTATCCATTTATACTTGGCAATGCTATCAAAGGTGTGATATATATGAACTCAATAAATTCGAAGTCATAATTTTCAAGATTTGAGGAGGTACTAAAACTTACTACTAAAATATCAGAAAGAAAATATGTACAAACCTCTTAGTGCTATTTTCACTAAATTTTTTATTTCTTGGCATTTTTATTTCAGTTAGATTATTGAAATTAAACAATATGCTAGAAGAAGTTTTGGCAGAAATTAGTCTATAACTATTTCTAAGTCATATTTTTTTCTTGGAAAAATTCATCCAACCCTCTTAAATCCTACAAATTGTTCTTGTGTTAAAATGACTAATACTATGGGTGCTCAATATGCATATAGTATTTTTAGCTGATAAATTTTTATGTAGCTCTCCTTAACAAAAACCTATTCTTAAAGTGGATACACCATATTTTCTTGTGAATATAACCAGAAAATGTATAAGCTGTCATATTGTAAAAAAAAAAGAGAGAGAGAAGGTACTTCTGGAATTTAATATCTTAGTATGACAACATACTCATTATTAACCTTTATCTTCTTGATATAAATATTCACATGTAGTTATTTGTAGGAAACACCTCTACTTCTGAGATATAAGTTTTTATAATTAATTCATTATTTTATATCATTGTTTCCATGTAGAGTTAGAAAATACATAATCAATATATGTTTTTGTTAGAATTGGTGACACAATAAATCATTCTGCTTTGAATTTGCCTCACTGCCTGCATTCTTCATTGACTTTGGTATAGTAAAATGTTATTTAATATACAATTTAATAGCAGAGCATTTAATAGAAGTGACATTTTCAAACATGCACAACATAATATTTGATTTTTTAAATCTTATTCTTAATGGTCTTCAAGATTCTAAATTATCATTTAAATAACTAACATCTTAAACTATATTTTGTCATGTTGTTACATGAATTTTATAGGTTTGGCTTATAGATCTCTAGACCTTTGAAAGTTACTTTTGCTTGTTGTGGTCTAGAATTTGTTTTTTAATTAACCATACTATTTATGGAATTATATACATTGATTTTATTGTTTTTATTTCTATAAATAAAATTCTACATAATTTTCAGGAAAAACACATTTTATTAGAAAGCAAGGGATATTAAATAGGAATTTTAGCTATATTTTAATGGAAGGAAGATATATATTTGCATAATGGAATAATTATAGTTTGATTAAAATGTCCCTGTTTTAAGTTTTATAATATATAAATATATGACTTAATGAGCCAGTGATTCTCCATAGAGACCATCACTTAGAATAATTCATAATTTTGATACCACTTACTACTTTTGACTTCTCGTGAGTCTAAGTTGTTGACGATTACTTTAGGAGAGAATTGTGTACGATGGGCTATGTTTACTGCAGGTTGTTTAACATACCCTTTCATGAGATTATAGTTTGTAGTGCTTGCAGAAATAAAATATGTACCCTGATAAACCATAATTACCCCTCGGTTGACCGGTAAGGACAAACACTATAGTGAAATTGCTTAAAGAAGTAGAAGGGAATGAGCCTCTATAACACAAGCCACGCAATAGAAGACCAAAGAGAATCCAAAGAGTTGACAGGGATGTATCAGTATCCAATCATGAGAAGCAGCTCTTGTCATATCCTTCCATTTTTAAAGTTATACAACTTCAAAGGAAAACTTATTTATTGGATGTGTTTCATATAATAAAAAATAAATGCCTCATATGGGAGCCACTGTAAATTTAATCATTATTTGTTGTCAGTCACTCATTTGTATGTGGTAAGTAGCACTATCCATGCAGCTGCCCAAGGCTCTGAGATATTCCAGGTGTTTCTCCCACTCCATATATCCACTCATTCTCATGTCCTACGGGTTCACACTTTTGAATCTGTCTCTTTCACTGTTTCCAATGCTTATGCCTTGGATTAAATTTGTGCCACTTCTCAGGTGTATTGCCCCCTCATCAACTCTGCCTCCTCCCCAATCCTATTTCAACCCATCCTACATGTGGATATTGGGATGATCTTTTAAAAACTTGCATAACTTCCTGAATAAAATTCTTCCTGATGACCCATATCTTTCAGAAAATTCAAACTCTGATCTTAACACATAAAACCTAAATGATATGGTCTCCTTAAGCTCATCTGTATATACTCAGCTTACTCCCCACACTCCTTCAGCCATTCTGAACTATTTAACAGCTTTTAAAATGGAGGTTGTGCGGTTTCAAACCTCTGTTCTTTCATACCTATCCTGCTACTTTTATTAATATCTAAAATTATTTTCTCCACTTAGTGCATGTAACTTAATTCATAGTAGCCTTCTAAAATTACATCAAGAATCATTTCTTCTAAAAAGTTTAGTCAGAAAAACTCTTAAATCTGATTACAGTTGTCCTTCCTTGAGACCGCATTGGCACCCGAGTGTGCCCCTACTCTAGCAGTTATCACTTCATACTATAATCTTCCCTTTGCTTATGTTTCTCCCACTAGATTGTAAACTACTTGAGGGTAGGAACAATATCTTATTTAACTTTGTGGTCCTGGTGTCTAGCACAGTGTCTGACATGGGGTAACTGTTAAATCAGTATTTGAAGGCTGGGCAAATGTGTGATTTATTGGGCAGCAATAATTACGGTTTTTGTATTTCAACAGTTTTGCATCAAAATATTTTGGCATAGATCATGCAAATAGTATAAATGTGTTATATTCTGCAAGCTTCAACTACATACAGGCTGTAATTTGCCCTAATAAAGACTGCACAGACTGCAGGTTTTAGCTAGCTCTTTTTCAACAAGGCCTTACTACTCTGGGACTACTATATTCACTTGAATTATATGGAACTCATTCAACATGTGATGCCCAGCTAATTAGCCTTCTAAGCACAATGAATTTGATCTATGAACATAGTGTCTTGTTAGAACCCTAAATGGTCTTTGGTCCATCTTTGGATTAGAACTACTCTGGTTGCCTGACTCTAAAAGTAAAGTAACCAGATCCTGCCTGTAGAATGTTGCTGTTACTTCTGGTCATGAGTGTTTCATGTACAACGGTGACTAGAATTCTTAAAAGGACAAACTGGTGGGATTTCTCTGAGTTTATAGAACAGGTTGTGTAATCTTTTTGTACCTCCTTGCTAAGAAATGTTTGTTTAACAAATGTATTTGGCAGAATCTACTCTGAAATTTATATCATTGCAACATGGCCGCTGGGGTAGCTAATTTTCACCTGTCAAAGATTTTTAGGAAGAGGGCCATGATTAACTACCAGGGAGAACCTATTACTTGTGCATGACTGAATTGGCTAAAGTCAGTTCGTAGCTGCAGTTCTCCATCAGACACTTATACAGTAGGTATTGCAAACCCCAAAAGGATGTGGCATTTAGGCATCCACAATGCCTAAAATAGTAAAGTTAAAGAATTCAACTACCATCCATAATTGATATAACATAGGCATAAACTAGGCACAGAATAGCATGGAAGACCTGCCTGTGTCACCCCAGGGGAATAACAATAATTTACTACTCTGAAAACACATAATTTATTAAGGTATTACTGAGATGGAAGTTAACGTGTTCTATATAAAAACTGAAATGGTAAATGATTTTGGAGATTTGATTGTATAAATTGTGAAAATGTGGATACACATTTTCAGATTTCTCTCTTTAATCCCATATAAATTTATTTGTATTGTTTTTGGATATCCAAGCAAGGTAAAGTTATTTGGAAGGATTTGAAAATACAAATTACCTATCCAGTGACAAATTTTATGTGAGTAGAAAACATCAAGGTCCCTGTTGAGTTTAACTTTTTCTTTTATTAAGTTAGAATGGGACTTCTGAGCCATGGCTAAATGAATTTAGATATAAAATGAAAAGATTTTCACTTGTTGAGTTTTCTGGGATTTTTAAATGATAATAAAGCCAATATGAAACAAATGACTGCATTTCAAGAAAATCCTATGTCACTTACAAAATTTGCCACTTATTCGGTAGTTGAAGAATCTCTTATAGAAGAACATTTAGAAAATATGTTGTAATGAAAAGTAATTTTGGGGAAGCATTCAGGTGACCCCTCCATCAAGAAATAGTATGTAGTTATATTAATATTTTAAAATAAATTATGTTATGGACTGAGCACAGTCTTTGAAATCACTGAATACTGATTTCAAACAAGCTCTACTGCAAGTTAGCTGTATGATTTGGGAAGCTATCGAGTCGCTACTTCAGCTACAAGTTGATGTGAGGATTGACTAGATATGAATGTATTAGACATGTAGATATAGAATAGTACTTACCACAATCTAGCATGGGAATTTTATCCAGAGTGCATTTATTTCCTCTTTTTTTTTGCCTGAAATAAAGAAATTAATTAAAAATTTTCTTTGCTTTCAGTGATTATCCCAAATAGCAATCATAAGAGCTGTTTTCTTAAAGTGACATTTTTAATAGGTAGTAATAATTTGTGTGCCACAACTTCCTCCTGCATTTAATATGCTTTCATTATTATTAGTTCTCTTCCTTCACAACACATGAAGAAAAATAAACAGCCTTGTGTTAAGGCTATCAACTCTTCCTTCAAAGCATGAAGCAAGGTGGCAGATTAAAAAAGGGACTAGTAACAAAATTTGTTGTAATTCAAATTGATTGGAAGATTATAAATGTGTAAGACTAATTTTATATCTCTAGAGACTTTAGGCAACATTCTTACTATTTTTGGTGTGCATACTGAGACCACTGATGACCTTATGTTTTCCAATGATGGCGGCAATAGTATCTTTCATCCCATATACTCTTTACATAGTAAACTCGTCTTCACATCAAGAGGTGGGGTCTATGTCCCCTCTGCTTGAACCTGGATGACTTGTTATTTGCTTGTAGCCGATAGATTGTGGCTAAAGTGATGATGTGTTACCTCCTAAACTAGGCAAGGAAAAGCAATGTAGTTTCTGCCTTGTTTGCTGGGACACTTGAGCCACCAGGTAAGAAATCCGTCTACTTGGGAATGCCAAAATGGAGAGGCCATGTGCAGGTGCTTTGGTAACAGCCAGAGCTGAGCTCCCAGCTGATAGCTAGCTTAGGTTGTCTACCATGTGAATGAAATACCTTGGATTGATTATACCCCAAGTCAACATCTTACTCCTGTGTTTTCCAACCCCTGGGCCACAGACTGGCACTGGTTTGTGGTCTGTTAGGAACTGGGCCACACAGCAGGAGGTGAGCAGCAGGGTGAGCAAGTGAACCTTCATCTGTATTTACAGCCACGCCCCATTGCTTGCGTCACTGCCTAGCTTCGCCTCCTGTCAGATCAGCAGCAGCATTAGATTGTCATATGTGCGTGAACCCTAATGTAAACAGTGCATGCGAGGGATCTAGGGTCTGCGTTCCTTTTGAGAATCTAATGCCTGATGAGCTGAGGTGGAGCTTAGGCAGTGATGCTAGTGCTGGGGAGTGGTTGTAAATACAGATATCATTAGCAGAGAAGCTTGACTACATGATAAATACAATGGGCTTGGATCGTTCTCAAACCATCCCCCCAACCCTGGCTGTGGAACCATCATCTTCCATGAAACCAGTCCCTAGTGCCAAAAAGGTTAGGGATCGCTGTCTTACTATACTCACATGAAAGATCCCCAGTGAGAAACACCCAGCCAAGCCCTTACATATTCTTGATCCATTACTTTGTGAACAA